CAGAGTATTGGAAACTCGGGGAAGACCAGATGCAATTGGGAAGGAATCCGACGTTGTAGTAGTTCGAGCTCGGTCCAACTGCAAGGAACAAAATAAAAGGTCAGATTTTCTCTAAATTTTCGCGGAAAATGTCACGTACTCGTCGCGCTAGGATCTTGATCTCAGCCTCCAGGACCTTGTTACGCGCTGCAGTGACATCCAGCATCCCGATCATCTCTTCACTGGAGATCTCCCGCCTCTCCTGACTCCTGCTCTCGCGTCTGTCGTCTGCTCTCCTCTCACGCTGCGTGTTGTCCCATGCTGGACTGGCTGCTCTGAGCGACGCCCCATGTCCCGCACTAGCCACACATGACTCCAACTCCACCTCCCGCCTGCTGAGTTTGGCTTCAAGTGCGAGAATATGCGCCTCGAGGCCTTCACGTGTTCGCTCATGAGCCTGCTTTTCCGAATCTCGCTCGCGGCGTACGATTTCCAGCATTGCCGCAGCGTATTGGAGGAGATCTTCAGCATCCGGAGGGGCCACCGGTCGGTGTGTCAGAAGAGGGCCGGGTTTGAGAGGCATGTCTGGAAGGAGAAAAGCAGAAATGGAAAAGAGCTAAACATGGGTGAGCGACCTTACAGGACATGACTGCAGAACGCACCAGCGAGAGAAGAAAGGTATATCTGCGAGTGCGGCCACTTGCTGTAATCGTTCGATATCTCCACTGCGAAAGAGAAAACCCGTCAACAACGTGAAGCCTTAGACAAGAGAAATGGAGGCACCTTTCTCGATCAATTTCGACACAGCATCCCTCATGTCGTCTCTCTCCTCTTCTGCAAGCCTAACAACCTCCGCATATCGATGAATCTTCGCCTTGAGCCGCTCTCTGTCCCGCGCAAGCGCCGCGAGTTCTCTTGCATGCCCCGCTTGTTGGGAGTCGAGCGTGTCGAGCGTCGACAGAAGACGGGTCTGAAGAAGAGACGCGGGCTCGATGTAAGCTTGTACGCGAGATTCCAACAACAATATCTGGATGTTCAGAAGAAATAAGTAAGCGAGAGACCAAGATCGAAGCCGAATATTCGAACCTCATCGTCTTTTCTGGCAAGGATATCTTCCAGCTGGGGTTTGACTCCCATGTGTAGAGTAGGTTGGCTCAATTATTATAGGAGAGGGATTTATTCCATGATTAGAGAGTGAGCTTGAACTATCCAGCAGTGAGGTAGTGACGGCCTGCGTGAGCGTCAGGTCAGCGTTCGTTCCAAATGCTGAGCACGCCAGGCAACGGAAGACAAGACCCTTTGGTCCAAACAAGTGCAATCTTACCGGGTCCAGAACTCTCTTCGTCGCCGTTATTATAAATTTATAAAAAAAAAAGAGATATGAAGTACAATGAGCCAAACGTCATCCACGTAGTAAGTTCACGACGGCCGCTGTCGTGAAACTCCCGCTTCTGCACGATCATACTTGTCGTTACGAGGTTTCGAGGTCGAATTGCCCTGGTCTTCATCGTTAGGCGGGTTTACGGGTGGTTCAACTTCCAAAGAGTCCGCGAGATGGGTGGATAGTGGAGGCGATACAGAAGCAGGAAGAGGTGAAACAGAGCTGGGTTCTGTGTCTGCAAGAGCAGGAGTTTCTGAAGAAGAGAGTAATCATGACGATTAGTTTTAACGTCGACGAAAAGGGACTGAAGAGCTACCCACCCTGCTCCGTGCTGCTAGGCAAATACAACAAATTCAAGATGCTCTCCTGCCGCCTTCGGTGGAATTCGAACTCTCTGAGGATGTACATCTCGTCCTTGCCCCATATATCACTCGTAATTCTCAATATCGCTTTATTCCGTGCCTCCGCAGGATGCGCAATGATATCGTCGACGACACTCTTGAACGTCGCCGCGAGATCCAGCAAGGAGCGCGGAACAACGAGTCGGCGGTGTCTGTGGTTGAGAATGTATCCATCGATGATAGCCCAGGCGCCAAGGAAGGAGTGCGCGGTCGTACGCTCGATACGTTGGGCTTCTACTTGGTCCGTTGGTCGTGGAGCTGGCTCTGCGTGACGTTTAAGATTTGCGCCCAGGACGAAGACTGCTGATGAAACGACGTCTGGGTCGTCAGCGTTGGTGGGCGGTGAAGGCGACTCGGACTCGGAGGTGGCACGTAGGTAGTTGCTCACGACGCCGCGAAGATCCTCGGTGAAAATCTGGTGAGCCGTCCAGTCGATCTTGCCGTCTGCGATATTTCTGAAGAATGATTGGGCATATTTTATACTGATGCTTCGCCCAGCTAGACTCGATATTCAGGGTGTCAGGTGCAATTCGTGTCGGTGAAAGGACGATGCACTTACCATCCTCAGCCGCTCCTTGCAGCAGAGATGCATGCAATGAGGTACTGTACATCCGTGTTCGACTAGGTGCGAGGCCCTTCAGTCGGTGGTCTTTGCCTGCCTTCCAGGAACCGCTGTTCTCGGAAACATGATTAAGGGTCCGGAACAAAAGCTCTCTCTTCGTTTCGTCTGGGACGGGTATAAAACGTTCGACGAAGAGTACGACAGCCTCGTCGTACATCAAGTCAGGGCTAGGTGGTTGCGGTACGATGTCTGAAATGACAATGGTGCCGCGAAGCCTCAGAAGTTCAATGACAGTCTTGTAGTAGTCATCTCCGAAACGCCTGGACGTGCGATCCAGGGAAGGTTGACCGGGCTTCATGTCGTCCGTCGAGATGCAGTCCACGAAACAGTGGTAGGCAGAGTGAAGGATGGTCGGGTAGTGTCGATGTCGCGCGCAGACTTGCTCAATGCCGAGGAGGTGGTCGTATAAAGGTCCGTATTGTAAGTCCTTTTGGAATCGGCCGTCGAGCGGGCTCCAATGCCATCCAATAAGTGTCTGCGACGAATAGTGACGACGGAGGGAGATCCACTCCATATCGAGGTCGGTCCATGACCGAGCGTTGGCTGGATTATATTCTGGGTAACTGGGTTGGTAGATCTCGTAGTTAGCACGACCTTCAGCTCGTCGATGTCCGCGAATGAAGGCAATGGGGTCGGTGATAAAAGCACGAGCTTTTCCGACTCGTCTTCGAGTAGACTGGGTGCGGAAGGGTGCTATCAACGGCGATATGTATCGCCAGAATAGTCCGCCGAGCTTAAGGGAACGAGCAGCTTGAACAGATTGAGTGATTGTAGAGTAAATGGGAATGAAAATAATATGTGCGATTAAATTTCCTAGCCTTGAAGAGATGAGAAGACGGAATAGTCGAGCTTGAGGTGACTTGTAAGGACATGGAATTGGGACATTTTTGTTGACTTGAGTCCTCGTCGAGCGGACAGTTATGACTTGGAGCGCCGGAATGGCCGTGGTAGTGACAAGGAATAGTAGCGAGAGAGATATCGCCACGATGATGGGTACCGTAACTTCATAAACGTCGAGCGAACGGAGGAATTCGGCGAGGCCAAGGAAGAAGAGGACCAAGGCGAGCTCAAGGAGGACGGGAAGGGAAAGGAAGAAGGCAGGTATACGCCACTTTTCGATCATCTCCGTCCGCATGCTAAGCAACGCAAATCTCTCCTGTGCTGAGAAGTGCTCTGGGCGCAGCTGGTGTTCGCGCAGCCATTGCGATGCGACGATTCCGATGAGCACTGTTGTTAGGCTGACGACGAGGCTCAGGATCCAAAATACGTTGACGCTGATGGAAGTCGGGGAGAAGGGGACTGGTTCATCGGGCGTAAAGGATAGTGTTGAACCGTTGATCACGCTGTCAAGCCGCTCAACGATACGTGTGAGGAGGACAACCGTGGCGTCGTTGGGGTCAGGCTTGAGGTTCTTGTAAGATTCGACGATGAAGGCTGTGACGACGGCAGAGAAGAGTGATGCCTGTTGAAAATTTTCAGGGAGCAGAGAAGTATGAACAACGTAGCAAACGCACGAAGATTAGGATGTTCTGCACTTCGTCCTCCCAAATCTTGCATTGCGCCCTATCATGTGCTTGGAGGGGTTTCAAAAGGTCGTTCCAGTAGTCGTGGTCTTCTTTCTTGAATAATCCGTACACGTACGGGGTGCCGCTCTCGAAAGTTGCAGGCTACGTCGTCCGCACATTAGTTCAATGAAGAGAAAATATGTCTCTGAAAATAAACCCACGTTTTCCGGAGGTTTCTGCACTGCTTCCTCGTACTCTTCAACGACCAGAAACCTCTTCTTTCCTCCACCTCGGCTTCCCTTGGAGTATGTCAACATGATCGCCAGTTTCTTCAACCCGAAGTGTACGCACCTCTTGCGGTGTATGCAGAAGCCGAGGATCCTCCACAGTCTCTAGCATCTGACGAAAAGTAAGGCAACCGTCCGCGTGGGCTCAAGGAACACTACTCACCTGGCGCGTCGGTCCAAACCCCGTAGCTCCAGCAGTTGTGCTCGTTGACATGGTATGTCAAACCAGCAGCTTCGATCTTCGCTCCAATGCCCTTCCACAGCCGCTAGGAGGTGCCAAAGAATGGTCGCGTTCGATGATGGGCGAAAGCAAGATGTCCGAGGCAGGGTCGGAGCAGCTTTGACGGTTAGCACATGGTTGAACCAGAGAAGACAATGCGTGGCGCCTTTATCGACGGTTTGCCTGCTGATAGATTTGTCTATGCTTCACAGACGCTGTGCTAGAACGTCGATTCATGGGTATTGAACGATGGTCATGGCAATCGGTTTTTGAGGCGGAATTCCACCAGAATTTAAATTCTAGGCGCAATGCTCGGGTGATACGCACGTGACATGACGCGTGCTCAGACAGGCTCAGACCGTCGAATTTTCCAAGTCCGTCACGCCCTATAAGACTTAAGATAGGATTCATACGTTCTGGTGGTGTTTATGTAATCGTGACACATCTGTGACCTACACGACTCAAATTGCACTGCTCATGTCGTTGGACCTTCTCAGAGATCCTCAACCCTCGAAAACTTAAAGAAATGTGTAGATTAGTTTTAGGCTACCCAGAAATGTAATTTTCAGGTAAATCGGGGTGAAAACCAGCCGTATGGTCAATGTTCCGCAGGTGCGAGGGTTTTGGGGTCTGGGACGCGACGGGGCACGATCGTATGATTTTGCGCAGTTCGCGGTGTTAGTTCAAGGCTCCAGCAATGTAAATTATCATCGGCGTTGGAGTGGAACGCGTTTCAGGGCGAGAACACCCGTTCCAGGAAGCACCTTGTCAAGCTCCATGCATCTCACCACCCTCACCTGTTTACTCTAATTGTGCAGTAAAATTCACTGTTTCCCGCATCTCAAGTGGTTTTCCATATTGCCACCAAGGCCCTTAATGCTCCTGTGAGATGGGATGGGCACGAGTAGCAACGGGGACGCGAACTAATTGTGTCCTCATTAGGCGCGTCTCGGGCGAAAATCCGTCGGGGCATCAACACAAACGCGTTTTTGGACAATCGGGCTCCAACAAAAGTTTCTAACTTTGAATTCCTACCTTATGTAGGGAAGATTTTGGTACAAAATTCTTTCGTCCGCATGCCCCAGCGGATTTGGTGCTTTTTGGTCGATTCTGTCACGTTTGCTTACATAAACACCACCAGAACGTATGAATCCTATCTTACACGAAGCGGAATAAGAGCTAATAAGAGATATATGTCATATTTTATTCCTGTATTACGAAAATAAAAGATGATCAAAGACGTTTTGAGCACGACGCGAAAGAGAGATAGGCACTAACTACTCTTTCTATTGTTCCCAAGGTTAAATACAGATAAAGTTAACATACCAGACGTTTTCCACTGTAAAAAATCTACGTTGCTTCCTCCACTCGGTCTCCAGACGTGTCTGTGGATTTGATTGGACAGGAGCAAGATAATAATAACTTTCATTCGGCACCCATCTCCTTCGCGTACAGGGCGGTCATGATCAGTAAGGACGTCTACAGGTAACTTCCCTGCCGCCTTTCTCAACTGTTTCTTCACGCTCGTCCAGTCGATGGTTTGTGAGCGGAAACGCTGTACGATTCTGTGCGTTTCAGGCGACGGACAAATTACCGGTCCATGCAGTCATTTCCGAGGGGAAGAACTCGGGGAAGAGGAAAGCCAAAAATAAGATAAGCTGGCAGTGCAACGAACAGCATTTCTCCCACTTTATATAGTTATTGTGTAGCACCGTATCGCGTTCTAGCTGATCATCATATAGTGTCCATTCAGATATATACCCTCGCAGCTCGCTCTTCCGCTCCTCATCCCACTCCTCATGTCTGCCACACCGCTACCTGCTGGGCTTTTGGATCTTAACCTTGGTACGAAAACTCGAAAGACATCTTATCTCCATACGCTCGCGCTGAAGAAGAGTATTGAAGGCGTATTTACTCTTGGAGCGTTTTGTGAGTGTCTTTTTCGGTTTCCATAGAGGGCGTTGGTGGGTAACGTTCTCGAGGACAGTGAACACCTACCTGTACGGTATGGTAAGCTATCAATGGATGTCATACGCAATGACGAGTGGGTGTTTATTCTCAGAAACAACGACGGAGCATACTGACACAGACTGACACGGGTCTTTCTAGAGTACAACGATCCAGTTTGGATAAAGTACGTAGACGTCCGACAATACTCTCCAATATGCCTTGAACTTATGATAAATTGAGACTGAGCGTTCTTGTCCTCTTTCTGGTCGACACCTCACAGACAATTTCGTGCGTTGCCCCCCATGCGAAAAGCTTACTTCCTGTTGGAATGACTCTTTTATAGGGGAATTCACGTGGTGTGGCACTACCTGTAAGCACAGGAAACATTCATACGAGATGCCCGGACCCTGGCCGGGACGACTCGATACTCCCCATGCTGAAACGAAGTACAGGATCCATAACTACGGGAGTATTCCCAGCCTCATTGAAGGTGAGCGAAATACTCTGGCAGATGCGCAGAATGGCTCAGTGATTCCATGACTCAGAGCCGCCTTGGACCCTTCCATGGGTGTTGATAGCCTCGGCGGGCACAGCCTTCATTACGCAGCTGTTCCTGGGATACCGGTGGGTGGGGACAATATTTACACCTCCCATAAAGAGACTGATTTCTCTCCCGTCTCATTCCTCGGAAGCCTTTGGCGCCTCAGAAGGCATGTAATCATCTTCATCTTTGTTAGCATTCTCGCTGCTGTTTCCTTCGGGTTTGCCCTCGCATTCGTCATCTTGAGGCAAACATCATTCTGGACACCCAACCGGATATGGGGCGCTTTATGGTTCTCTATGCAAGTTGTTGTTGACGCTACTATTTCCGGTACGAACGCCTCTTTTTCCCATTTGACAACGGCCCAGCGCTAAGGAGATTTCTTTCCATGATATAGTCAGCCTGATTTACACCCTCGTCAAGTCTCGCACGGGATTCGAGCGTTCAGACACGGTAGTCAATCGCCTCGTGCGCACAGCCATACAAACAGGTGTGCTTTCCTTTATACTTAAAAACTTCCCCCGAACTGGTGGTGGTGGGGAAAACCGTACGCTAAATTTACCACTTTAGGCTCTCTGTTCAGCCTTTTTTCGCTGTTATCCCTCATCCTATATTTCGTGCGGCCGAGCGCTACCTTGTACCAGTTTTTCTACTTCGCCGTTACGCATCTTTATGCCAACGTAAGTGTGCGGGAGAGGGGGAATTGAACCGTGTAACAAAGACTGACTTGGATCATATTATTTTCAGACGTTGATGGATTCGCTGCTGTGCCGGCAGCACCTGCGAGAGGTGTGGGACAAGCCTCAATATGCAATAGTAAGTCTTTTGTCTCAATCAAGTATTCTGGATACTTACGCTCATTAGTCGGGACTCGAATTTCATTTGGACACTTCGAGTACCCAAAGCAAGGACCGGACGCACAGGTGAACGAACGATCTTTTTCGCGAACTAGATTGCAGTGGTCTGCTACATGCGATTGTGCGGCAAGAAAAGCAAATTTTGATACAGCGTCGAAAGAACCGGTGGGCGATGAGAATAAATTATAATGTGAGCTGGGCAAACCTTTGTGGGATTGTTGGGCTCTGGCTGCGAGGATCCCCTCGATCCCCATCTCTGTCCTCGTCGTCTGCAGGAGTCAGGCAGGAGCGTGGTATTGAAGGGTTTTCTTCACCCTAGAGGACGAGCTGCGCGAAGCCACGATAGTAAGCATTCTGACAGGGCTCGCAGAGGGATGTGCATCAGAATTTTTGACGAGCATGTCCGTAAACTTATCTGCGAGATCCACAAGACAAGGGCATGCAGATGCTCAACAAGATCGAGAGGCGCCAGCCTAGATAGAGTACTGGAGGAAATAAACCAGTTGGCAAAATCCAGGTATTCCTTCTCGTCATGAGTCGACGAACAAGGGAGCCACCGAGGTGTTTCAGTTAGATCTCGAGCTTGGATTCGGAAGAGGCTGGGGTTGAAAGCAGCCGTGTGGACGGAACGAGAAATTAAGAAGAGCCCCAAGAGGATGATGCTCGTGCGCCGAAATGCCCATCGCCGGAACATACATTCGCACACAACTATGAATACGCGTCGAATAAGTAGCGAGGGGCTGCTGGGATAACTGCAAGTGTGGTATGCTTCACCGATGAGATCGGATAGGGCCTACTAGTCACTCTACCGTAGCCTGAGTTTGGTGATTGGGTTGGAGAGTGGTTGTGGAAAATCGAGCATGGGGAGGAGGGGATGGGTAGTCGGTAAGCACATTCAGAAGAGGGACACCGCCATCGAGGGCTTGAATTATGCTTGCTTGAAAAAAGGTCGAAGCTCGAGAGGGGATAGGAGATGGAAGATACGGGCTTATAAGCGCGGGACGATCCGCCATCGTGTATGCACATCCGGACTGCAACTCTAGACCTACAAGACTCTCCGAGAGTCTTTCACAGCACAGACAACAGTGTGTGCGTAGAGCTCGAAAGGAGAGGGCTGTGCTCGATGTCGCGGACGTGAGTGTGGATAGGTCGAAAGTACATGAATCGGCGATAGCAACTGATGGCTCGTTTGGCAGCGGAGGGAAAGGCATGAGTCGATCGATCAAAGACAGAGATTGTCGGGTTCTTCGTACAGGGTGTTCCGGTGCTCGTCAACGGCATGAGTTCACGCAAAAGACGAAGTATATGAAGGTATAAGGATGCGAAGCCGATCCGCGAACGATTGAAGGAGACGAAATAAAACTTTAAAAGCTCCAGGAGACGGTGCTCGCACGCTGAGATGCCCATCATCGAGATACACCCGAAAGTCAGTAGTTGTATTTCTGAACCCGGGCCAAAAGACGAGGGCCTGGGGCTCGTACAACAACGAGATGAGTGATAAGCTCTGACGATGGGTCAAATATTGGCGAGGAGAAATGCGAGGGAAGCGGAAGATCAAGATGAAGGAAAGGGATACTCATTGAGCGTGTGCAAGAGGTGAACGTCTGCCCAAGGGCTCGTGTGTTTGAATTACCCTTCCTCCACAAGAGGCGAAAGAGCGACGGGAAACGGCAGTAAGGCCGATCTTGTGGCTGAAGGAGGCAATCCACCATCGTGTGCACACATCCATACAAACACCAAGCTGCTTATGATACTCTCCGAGAGCCACGTATGACACAGAGTATAGCGGATCGGAAGGAGAGGAGCAGGAAGCAGTGCTGGTTTGGACGTGGGTCGTACGATGGGGCAATCGTGCAGCGGTCCGCCGAGGGCAATGTGAATGAGGCAGGTATTGGTAAGAAGAGCAGACGTCCGAATCGTGGGGCGAGGCCTAGGGACGCGAGGTGGATAGGAGCGGGCGAGTAGATTCTGTGCTGCAGGAACGTCCACAGGTAGGGCGGGGGCGGGGACGAGGCAGAGAGGAAGAGCTGCACATTCGAACACAGCGGATTCTCGCAGTCGGAGGGGGGCCGAAGTCCGACTTTCCCACGTGCAAAACCTATAAATTATACCCTGCTTGTACCCTTCTCTCATCCTTCGTTCGACCGCTGAGTGCAGACGATGGCCCCTTTTCGATCTTGTCGTGATCCCCCAAGGCTGTTCAGATTCACACGATGGCCATCTCTGAGTGTCTAGTATGTTTCCTTCTCCTATCGCCGCTCTTCGCTTCGCCTGTGCTTTCAGTCGGACTCATCTCCCACTCGTCTCGCCCACCCTGACTCAATGCCCTGTCCTCAATTCCCCAGTATCTGCTGCCACCACATATTCCATGGGCTCTATACTCCGCCAATCGCTCCCGTCGGTTCCGCTTCATCGTCCCGCCCAAGCTCATATGTCATGCTCCTTTCCAACTCCTATCCACGCTTCCGAGCACCAGTGCGTAACACGGAATGAACCAGTCGCGCGATCCATAGGAAGGATGCGTACTGGGTACTTTGGTGTGGCTTCTTCATCGGAGTCGGTGGTGTGGGTGTAACCCGGAGCCTGTTTCTGCGAGGATTTTCGCTTTGCGTTTGTGGCATACAGCCTCTTCTCTCTGAATCGTCCCTCCTGCGTATCCACTCCTGCGTACACTCCTCTCGCACTGTCGCACGGACCTTCCCGACTGACACTTCTGCAGACTGCCTCCATCCCCGTCGTCAACGGACCGCACATTTCCAGTCGTCTCGCATCTCTCGCATAGTGCCATTGCGGGCTACTTAGACGTGGACGCACGACTGTGGGTGTTACGCTCGGAAGGCGACGGGTTCTTGTGAGGCGGCCAGTGATGTGCGTGCTCTGGGAGAGACGAAGAAACCTCAATCTCACTCAAAACACTCACGCAAGTACGTGGGGCATGAAAGACTTCGATTAGAATATAGAAATGGTGTCAGAATAGAAAGAAATAAAATAAATAAATGCTTCGTCGAAACGTCGCATCTGAGTGCCCAGGAGTGGTCTTCCTGCTCCCGAAACACTCAATCTCGAAGACAGGGATGGTCTTCCTCTCCCTGAATCCGAAGTGCAAAGGGAATGGTCTTCCTTTTCCCCTAACACTCAAAACCGGAGCAGTGGTCTTCCTTCTGCTCAAAAACTCAAATCCTCGGGTGGTCTTCCTTCCCTTGGATCGCACTATCTCAGCGGTGGTCTTCCTTCCGCTGTTCTCATCTCTCTAGCTTACTGGTGGTCTTCCTTCCAGTTCGCTCCTCTATCTCATACTCTATCTCGTATAAATGTGCATAAATCATTTATTAAACCCCCGAACCCTCTTAGAAGTCAACCAGGGAGCTCACGAGCGTCCTAGCGGACCGCCTCGCTTCGCTACCCACTCCCAACCTCGGGGAGGTGGCTGCTTGGCTCTCATTGTCGTCCTCCTCGGGTTTTTATACTCGAGGACCCGGATATCCGGAATCTCGTCTTCCGGGCGTCTTACTCAGCTCGTAGGTGTCTAGAATATTCCATTGTGCTTGTCCGACCAATAGAGTTTCAGTTACCTCATGTTCTGAGGTCATCGCGACCTTTCTCGGGGCGTCTATCCTCGTTGTACACCATTTATGGTGTTTCCATGTCCATATCTGGATGACGGAACACCAATATCCCGGGTGTCTGACTCAGCGTCGTCACCCAAGCCAACTCGAGTGTTTCCGATTGGTCAAATCTCTGCGAAACCACATGAATGTGGCGTTCGAGCGCCAATACCATGTGGTAGCGCTCATAGTCACATGTCACAATTGCCTCAAATGACCGATTACAGTACTTTGTGTACTGCTTTCGGTACGATCTTCGGAGACTGCCGACTGAGTCCAAAGGTGGGTGATGGCTACGCACAGTCTAGGTCACGGCAAGTCCGTAAAGCGGCAGTACGTCGGCAGACTGGTGATCAGCACGACCAGCTGTCCCTGTCACGGCGTGGGAAGCAAGCAAGCTCCTCCCCGTTGTGAGGCGATAACCCCCTCAACACCAGTTGGATCGGGGTCCAAATGACGCTAGCTATAATATATGTCATGGAATCTTTGGTTGTTGAATTGGGAGTGACAAAAGACAAAAAGCGAAAACCTAGGTTACACCTTTTGGCCTAGTGGTTCAATTGCGCTGATAGCTGCTTTATCGTGTAAAATCCCACAAAGTCAACGCTCTAAGTCATCGGTTCGATTCCCGAGACCTACAACACATCTCACCGAGGATTAAACCTCGTTATCATTATCTTATCAATAAAATAGGAATTTTATTATCAAAAAATTCCCTGTCGTATCACCAGGGCTATCATCCTGTGTAAATAGACGTGGAATAGAGGTCAGCGCACCACTTCGTTCGAGCTTTATCGGATAAAAAACGCACATCTATGACAACCAGCTGTTATGTTTCCGTGAAACCAACAAAAAATAGGGAAAGCCCGGATCGCCCTCTTGACGTGCTCATCAGTGCGTGGGATAAATATCGACGAAGGCATAATTCACCCTCATGCATTCAAGTGGTACTTACAGACGACATAGTTGGGCATAAAGGCGTAAGGCGGCAAGACGCGTAGGTGTATTCTTCGATCTGTCGAGTGAAGAATCGCCCCAGGAAGAGCTGTAAGAAGCAACACGAGTGTGAATATCCACAAGTGTTGAGTGGAATTTCTTACGAACCTGATAACGAGGCTTCGAGTCGATGATGCGGAAGGACTCCGACGGAGGTATTGGTCAAATGCAGGTCACTTCCTGGATGTCTGCAGAAAAGACGCTACAGCGAGGAAGAGACCAGGGCTTTAAGATAAATGAACAACTGAAAAGACGGTGGAAGGACGGCGAAGCGAAGCGGTCCTTGGTAGGTCCAAAGGATAACCGACTGCGACTAGCCGCATCTGCAAACCTGAGGCCCGTCGAATTTACGACTAGACGGTCAAGGTGATATGGCTCACTTCGGGACGACGTTCGACATGGATGTTGATCACAAGATATGGAGTAGCCTGACTCGTGAACAAGCTTCTAGGGCCCCGCGAGCCTGTAGAAGATTGATATATACTTGACTGGAGAATGAGCAGGATGATATGCTAGAAGAGAGAGGCGCCGATTGAAGAAGGTTCAAGAAGAAAGTATGAATTGCGATCTGAGACTCACCCGAAACGTAGACACGACCTGAAGGGCTCGGTCAGCAGGCATTCGCGTAGGAAGATGATCCCCTTACTCCGAAATCTACTTTCGGCTGGGCGGAGAATAAATCTCTTCAACTAAACGAACGGCCGCTCCGGGCCTTGACAAGCTCAAGGACGACCATGCGACAATGCCAACGCCAACGCCAACGCTTCAGGGTGTTTCACGAATCAACAGAGTGACCGCAGAACTAGATTCGCACACGAACTAAAGATACAAGTACATTTCGAGTAGACGCACATTTCGAGTCGACATCACATGTCAGGATTTGCTAAGGAAGAACGACGCCAGCTTCTTTCATTAGATCTGCCACCTCGATATCTAGAAGAATAAGACAAGAGGGGTTTGAGGTAGTCAATGAAGGTAAAGGAGAGGGCGTACGGTCTTCTGTATGCTTCATGCGAGACGCGAAGGAGCATTTGTTGCCTGTCCAAGTATGAACAACGAATGGCGCGGCAGGTACGGATGAACCCACCAGGTCCAAAGATGAATTCGCCTCCGAGCTGCGAGATGTTTCCCTGCTTGCCGATGAGCGTTGGTTTTCTCACAGGTCCGCGCTGTCGAAACCTGCATTAGCACGACCGACATTCGTAGAAACGAGGACGGATGTCAGAAACGCACCCAAATAGAGCGCAACGTGCCCCCCAAAAGGCTCATCCCGCGCAAGTAGCTCGGCCTCTCTTCCCCAGCAGGTGTGCGCTGGAGGTTCTCAATCGTCATCCCGAGTGCGTGGTACAGCTCCCGTGATGGATCGGCGTAGATCGCGCCGGTGAACTTCGTCGTTTCTTATCATGACATGCATCAGTGGACAGAATGAGAATAAGGATTGGGACGGACCAGTGTAGTGAAGGATGGCGGCAGCCTCGCCGCATCCAATAATGACGATCTTCGTGCCGGCTTGGGTAAGGGAGTCTTGAGGGACAGACGCCAGCTGCTCGACATAAGCCTATGAGCGGAGGTGGTGGTCAGGTGGTGAGAGGTGGGAAGAACCTGGTCGGCGCACCTGGCAGGCCTGGTCGATGAGAGGCAGGTGGGGGCAAAGTTTGAGTAACGTCAGGTGAAAGACACGAGCAGAATCGTACACCACAGAAGAAGTGCCCTATGCATCCATATCAATGAGTTCTGAAACTGTGGGACGGAGTGAATGAAGCTCACGGATGAACACAACAACAGTCTTCTGCCCCTCGATAATCGACCCGAACTTCACTTTCTCGCCCTTCGCGTCCAACACCTCCAGCGCCGCAGCTTTCAAGATCGTCGCTTCATCCGGGAGCGCTTTGAGGTCTGTTATGACATGAGGTGTCGAGGTGATGGGAGGAAACAAGAGGTCGAAGTCGAACGACAGTGGAAAGAAGCAGCACCGGCCCGGCTTGTCTGCAACTGATGACGTCATGATACTCAAGGCCAATCTTTAAATTTCACTTTTTTGGTTTTCCGTTGCGCTCAGGTAGCTGAGAATAACTCCCAGATAAATCCTTCAGAGCGACCCGGGAGCGGTAGCAATATTACTCATGTGTGTCACAGCTACGAGGAAGAGGCGAAGGGTGATTGCGTAAACAATTCCGGCGTGGATGTGTAGCACCCAGACGAGGACTTTCGAGCGGTCAGGTATGACGAAATAAGGCCAAAGAACGACTTCTCAGACGCAATTATGTGCGGATCGGCGTCAAATATACCATGGATTCAGAAGTGAGAGAAGCACTTGGGAAGAAGAGACCCAACGGACGCTCGAATGAGGGTTACATATCAAAAAGACGCATTAATCTAAAGAATAATGGTGTGCATCTCGAAAAGAATTATGAGTCTTCGCTCGAGACCTAACATTGACACCACGAGAAGGTAGGAAATTCGCGAATTTACCAAGAATTTACAGGCCGACGACAGACTTCAAGCGCCGTCTCTGCCTACCGACGCATAAATGAGCAGCGTAGGATCTTCGAGATGAAAGGAAGCCTATCAAGTTCCACACCAAGAGCTAAAACCATCCGAGCAGACGAAATACTAAGGATTGTACATGAAGCACGGCATAGCCAGGAGACCGCATTTTCTACCCTTTCTCGCTCTTACTAGTCCCAGACGTTTCGACGAGCGCAAGGCTGACGTGTACCTAGGACTAGGGGTACAAGGGGCTTAAATGATGGGGATACGATACGAGGCACAGCGCGAGGGGTAGCAGGTGATGGAGGCAGCGACTGAGGCGCACCGAAGAAAGAAGGTTTATCTATGATTCTGAAGCGCACCAAAAATACTGGCCAAGGAGAAATCGTAGGACCGCGTGGAAATACCGGATTCAAAAGCACGAGGAAAAATAACGGCCAATTGTCCAGGCACCTGCACTCTACGAATTCTTCACACCTTTTGAGCAGACGAAATCAGAGTGAAAAAGTATCTCGCCTGACATGCCCAGTAGACCATGAAAGCCCGTCGTTTCTGTTATTCAACCTGGCACAACTGGTCCCGCATCTTGAAGAGCGGAAGGCCGACATGTGACTAGGACCAGAAGAGGTGCGAACAGCTTCAACGACGAGGTTCAGAGTCAGAGTCCGGGCATGGCACAACGGAATGGGTCGTCATATGAAACGGAGTGACAATCCAGACCCTGCACCATCCAGCGGCGAATCTGAGAGGAAAGCGGGGAGATCGATAAGGAATACCAGACGTGCGTACGGCCATGCGCCGATTGATCGAGAGATACCCTGGTACGCCGTTGTATGCACACATCTAGACCAGCAGTGTGTCAATGAAGAGATCCACCCGATAGCCAGAAAGCGCAACACAGTGGAAACTACGTGCGATGGCTGGAAGGGAGAGATTTTGGACACCCGGCGTTGGTCTGGATGTGGAGTGGACAGCTCTGAATCGGCTGATAGTACGGAGTGAACAGGGCAGCGAGGGTGAGCAGGATGATTCCAGCGCTCGAGTTGGTTGGGACGTATAGAGGTCAACGCAGAGGCGTCGAGAGCCAGATACGACGAAGTGGAGGAGCGGGGCAGAGAGTGAGTGACGTGGAGGCAGGAAGCAAGAGGTGCAGATCATGGGAACGCATCTGATTGGCCAACGGATGTTATTGCTGTTTTCAAAAAGGTTGGCGACGGTGATTGTAGGTCTCAGGAATTGAACCGATGACTTAGAGCATTGACTTTGTGGGATTTCACATGATAAAGCAGCTATCAGCGCGATTGAACCACTAGGCCAAAAGGTGTACACCTAGTTTTTCACTCTTTGTCTTTTGTCACTCCCAATTCGACAACCGAGGATTCCATGACATATATTATAGCTAGCGTCATTTGGACCCCGATCCAACTGGTGTTGAGGGGGGTTATCGTCTCACAACGGGGAGGGGCTTGCTTCCTTCCCACGCCGTGACAGGGACAGCTGGTCGCGCTGATCGCCAGTCTGCCGACGTACTGCCGCTTTACGGACTTATCGTGACCTAGACTGTGCGTAGCCATCACCCACCTTTGGACTCAGTCGGCAGTCTCCGAAGATCGTACCGAAAGCAGTACACAAAGTCTGTAGGAAACCGGCTACGTTCCGCTCCCCCGTCTTTCCCACGCTTCCGTCCCGACTCATTTTCCCCCTCGTTTCCGTCCATTGGCTCCGCTCCCGCTCCGTTATGCTTTCCGACTCGTAGCTAGTCACTCTTCTCATATCAGTAGTCATATATTTCTCCTTGACTCTTTATTGTAGTCATGCTACCTCGCCTCCGACTTCCTTCATTTCATCTAGTCACTTATCTTTCATTTCGTTGATTCCTTATCTTATGACTCCTCATTAAATAGGTAGTATAAGTAGACAGATTGTAGTCTACAGTACCCCAGTGAATCCAGTGGTTTATACTGCTCCGTTTACGCCCCCATCCTCCTCTTCTCTAACCGACGAAGTCCTTTTCCCCCCGTGTGACGATTCGGATACTCCCGAAAGAGTTCCTCGTCGTTACAGTGACTTTTGGCGTCATACATCAAATTTCCGCAAGTCTGAGGGGTCGTTAGAGTTCTCGCCGTATCTCTACATGTACATCGTATTTGCAAACAAAATTATATATATTCTGAAAGCTCTCGTCGATCCGCACGCGATGGTGAATAAAAAGTGGTGAGAAGTGAAGAATTGACGAAGATGCGACCTGACAGGGCTATGGAGCACTGTTCGGGGCATATCTCGCTCAAAACTTCATCGTTCGGAGAATTTAAAAGCTCTATGGCTTCTCTGAACTATTTCACATTCATTAAAAATGAGTAAATTATGATGGAACATGGAGAATGCAGGAGACAAGCCCCCACGTCATCAGGATGAACATTGCACAGCCACATACGAGGGTCGGGCATCGTCGAAGGGACATGGCGAGTGTTGGGTGAGTGTACAATGGGCTGGTGTTCTACAAATTCAACGCAACTTCATTCTATGTGTCTACGTGGACAACTGTAGGGCTTTATTTCACGAAATTATGACGTCCTCAGAGGCGTAGACAGGCCAAGATGACTAGAGTAAAGTTGTTGTTATGATTCAGGCTCAAAAAGGCTGAAAAGTCTTTTTTTTGGGTTCTACTATCTTATTGTACCATGGGCTTAAGTATCGCATCTTCGTCAATTCTTCACTTCTCACCACTTTTTCTTCACCATCGCGTGCGGATCGACGAGAGCTTTCAGAATATATATAATTTTGTTTGGAAATACGACGTCCAACCTCCTCTCCATCATTTGCTGCTTGTCTTTGAATCTGCACACACGCCAACATGAACTGCATCCATGTCTCCGCCCAGGGCTGCTTAACAATGTATAGGCCACCCGCCAGGCGTTCATGACGACGGTGTGTCCCTATATGTTGATCGCGGCTGTCTCCCTCAGCGGTTACGTGGATCAGACTTTGTTGTGCGTACATCTTCCAAACCCACTTCAACAGCTCACTGCGATGTCCTCTCGATTCCGACACTATGTCTATCATCTCTAGGGAGAGTAAGCAGCCAAGTTTCTTATGTCCATCCTCCCACATCTAGGAACGCGGGTTCTGCGGCCACTCGATCCCCATCACCGACCTGAGTCCCCTCCAGTCGTGCGCAACGCACCTGACTACTGGCCTTCTTTATACAGAGTGCGACGTGCGACTGTTTTGGGCTATGACCGCTGTCGTGATGGGCTTCAGTCCTGCACTCCGCTTCTCAACCCCATACCCTCGAAATTACCCTGTTACTTGAGCTTCGGCTTGCCAATCTCAGCATGGATTTCAGCATAGCGATCTCATCTTTAAACTTCTGAGCGGTCTATGATGCCCACTCACGACCCTACCGCTCCTTCGTCGTCTCGTGCTCAAATATACGAACGCCCGATACATTTCTCCCCCACTCGATGGTCTTCTTCAATGTTCCAACAACTCGGACCCTCCGATCCCCGAGTTACTCCGCGTAAAATCTGTTCGACGATAAGTCTCATTGTCTTCAACCGTCGAAATACAAATACAATTTATTCTTCAGCTTTTCAGCAACGTCTCTACGCTACGGCCCCGACTCGTGGATCTGAGACTGGCAACCTCCTTCAAGTTTGAAATCATGTGACGCCCAAACAGCATCCCAATATCCAAATTCTGCTGCTCAAAACCTCACTACAACAGTTGCCACCACAACCACCGTTCGACAGCTAACAATTAAGAGAGTGTAGGCTGATCTCGAGAAGAGGAGACATGATGATAAGACGCTCGAACAGACTGAGTGAGCGATGATTAATTGATTAATTATCCATCGACAATGCCACTCGAATCAGCTAGAGAGGAACGTCTCGTATATGAAACATCGGCCAAAAAGGAATCCACGATCATCCGAGCAGACGAAAAGCGGCGTAGTGGACCCCAGCGCACCTAGGAACCAGCAGACTGTGCTCGCAGCCCGCCGTTAGAGTCCATTTCAAAATTCTACACTAGTCCTAGGCGTCTCGACTCGACGAGTGCGGGTCTGACATTTAACTAGGACTAGGAGAGGTACGAGAGTCTCCAACGGCGGGGATAAGAGTCTGAGTATGATTCGGAATGGTGCCAGGGGTGGGGAGGCGGTAGGGTAAAGGGATGGGGAGTCAGGAGGTGGAAAACGGAGCGGAACGGAAGAAAGAAAGAAAGAAAGGAGGGTGGGCACGAGAAGCACCGATCGTAGGTCTACTAGAGTACGTCAGTCGTTTCTCCTCGACTAGAAGAATCCTGCAACCACATCCGTTGCTACACAATTAGCTGAGATCCTCGTGCGTACGCACGGACCGTCAGAAAGAAGAGGAGCGAGATGTTTGCAAGGATGTGGGTAGCATGAATGCTCTGTTGAGCTGACAGCGAACGGAGTGCGCGTAGGGGGCAGGGGGGGCAGAGAGGAGCGACCGAGTGAGACGAGGCGCATACAATTATGAAGCAGAGATGCAATCAAGAGCGTAGATATAGATGGGATGAGGAGCAAAAGTGGAGAAATCGACGTGAGGGCAGAACGAGTTCGAATAGTCCGCGGAATCAAAAGCACAAGGACGATGTTGAGACGAAGAGAGCACATTATGGGCCGCACGAATAGGCTCGGTCAGTAATGGTAAAGAGTACTCGTCACAAATGGCACCCACATGGACATAGAAATAAGCGGGCCCGCAAAGATAATCACCCTTCGCTTAGCGATCGCTGAGAATCCAACGAGGACAAACCCTATGGGTGTTAGTGCGCGAGAAAGAGTTATATGTCGGATATACCAGAAACTCGCCTTAAGGATGAGCTGTCTGTCATTCACGTGCTCCAGCTCGAATACCCTCCTCTCCATGCAGAGATGAGAAAAGGGCGACTCAGCAACGCATCATCAGACGAGAACTAGGCTTAGGCAACATGCTGCGCTCGCAGCCCGCCGTTGGGCGCCACATTAACACCACTTGCCATAGACATCACGAGCGTAAGGCTGATGTGTGTCCAGGACTAACGGAAGTGCGAGAGGCTTCGACGGCGGGCTTCAGAGTCTGAGTAGGATGCACAAAAGCAAGGAGTGGCCTGGAGGCGATGGGATGAGGTGCGGGTGGGGAATCGTAAGGTGGGACATCGAGCGGCGCAGAGGGATCAGAAAATGGGACAAAGGTGGAGGTGAAGGGTGCTTACGGGATGAGCGGAGCGAGTGTTTGAATCTGAGTATACAATAGTATGTCGCAGTGGATCGTTTCTGCTCGACGAGATGAAGAACGAGTCGGACCGAGCGACTAAGAACCCAGGTGGCTCGTACACCATCATGCGCGCACATCCAGATTACTGAAGAAGAGGTTATAATCTCGGGATCCTCGTACGACATGTGTTGCCGTGTAGTGCTCGTACGAGGCTCGAAGCAAGAGGAACACAACCCTGGGCTTGGACGTGCGCGTCAATGGAAAACGCCGGGGGAGTGTCGCGCACGACCTGAGGAAAGAGGAGGGTGGGTGATACTGAGTCCCAGTGAGAGGAGCTGTATACACGAAGCAGAGAGGCGTCGACATGGGCAGTGAGTTGAGAGAAAGGCAAAGGCATGTGCATACGTCATCGTCCTTGCAGAAGCGCACCCGATTGGCCAAAGAAAGTTCGGGACGAGCCGAAGTCCGTGTTTCCCGCGGCATGTCCTTCTCTTCCTTGCTCCATCTATGGAGCTCTCTTCGTGGATTCCTGTCCATCGTCTACCCTTCGTCTGGCTTACCCGTCTCAGAACGGTGCCCTCAAGCGCCACGTCCGCTTTCGCAAGACCTTATGCTCGCCCTCCTCTCTCCTCTGCACTTCCTCTGTTCTTCCTCTATATGTGGGCAAGACGCCTCATTGACAGGCCCCGAGGGCGACGTCCTTGACTACAACGCGCTTCCCGATTCCCACCCACCCACATCTCCTGGGCCTTCTTGCTCTACAACGTCACGTCGACATGCACGTCTTCCACCTCTGGGCCCTGGCATGCGCATACGTCACCCGATACCCATCGTCGACTGGACTCCCTCCAGCTGTCCATAGCGCCCTGACTTCCATAATTCAGGAAGCGGCGCACAACCGGTCGTAGAGTAGGTCGAACAATGGGTATCCGACGTTTCTTACCACTGCCATGTTCATGTTATCCACCTTTTCGTCAGTCGAGGAGGTCGAATCGGCAGGCCGCAATTTGCTTGTCTATCTAAACTAAAGGAAATATTTTCGGGTCCTAATAGGCTGTCGTGCTCGTCTGGGAAAGCATTCTAATCAGCGCCTCCTCTTCTCTTTTTTCCACTCTCTCGACATCGTTTCTTCCATGCCCCCAGAAATCATCTTAGAACATCTACTGTCTAGGGGCTCAAGATCAGCGTTGAGGTATCGCATTTATCATAACATCGAGCACCAACTTATTGATTCGGAGACATCACAGCCCGTAATTCACAATTCACGCACAGTCGGACCTCGATGGGTTCCCGCTCCAAACACACAAAGGAAAGACTGTGACAATTCGACGCATCCCAGAATATCCCTCTCGCCGCCGGTCGTTTATCAACGATTAATAACATGGTCCTAGTCCCAACTTTCCCGTCTGTAGCGCATCATGGCGAACGAACGTCGAGGACACGAATTCTTCCTATGGCCATAGTGAGTCCTCTAGGGTGGGGGCCTGTACAACGGATCCGGAGGAAGTTCTAGAGAACGCGGCGAGAAGAGCCGATGCACTGAGAATACCACGCAGAGGTACTTCTCAAGGGCGAAGTAGACCATGTTCGGCCCGAAAAACCCCTAAAATGGCGATGAGGGCGCGGCGGGAAGACGAGAATGGCTCAATCTCCCAAAGAGAGAAAGTGCTAACGGCACCGAATGAAACATCGAAGTACCAAGTGGAGTGTGTGGGGTGGATTAGATATCGAGAGACAAACGAAAGGGTCGATGAAGTCTTGAAAGGGCAGACTCGAAGAGAATCCAAACGTCGAACTGAAAATGGGGATACTCGGACCTGAACCGGTGAAAGAGAACCAGACACAGAAAATGACACGGTGCTCCAGTAAACGGACCTCGGAGCATCACTCCCCGCTGCGCTGGTGCTGGGATCGGACCAGATTTTCCCATCGTTGAATGCCAACCCATAAATACAACGAATGCCAGGCGTAGATACGTGTGTGCGTTTCGACGAGCACAATACCTACGTCCAACGAGCACTAGAGGCACAAGCAGCTTCGACGATGGGGTTGGGATGGGCCGACCAGGACATGGATCTTGGGGCTCGAAAGGTCAGAAGATGGGAAGTCGAGCAGCGAGAGGGAGAGCAGTGGAGATGGGCGGCGGCGTATGCGTCCAAGAGGGGCGTGTTGAATGTTATTTCGTGAATGGGCCTTGTATAAGGGAGTGACGAAGTACCTCGGAGAAATATGGACCCAAGGGAATGCGTAATTATCGATATCGATTATCAGCTACAGAGATCCGCAGTCGTGCGCACACATCCAGACCACACATTGTCTGCAACAGATCCCTATACTCTCCGATAGCCACGCGCAAACGAATAACAGTGTGTGCGCAGTACTGGAAAATAGGAGGTGACATAATGTTGGCCTGGATGTCCATCGCAAGAGCGAATAGAGTAACGGCGGGATAGCGGTGGGGCGGGAATCAGGCGATAAGATTCGGGGCAGGCGCGAGAGCCGCATACGTGATACCCAGGCTTAACACGATGTGCAAGATTATACCCGTCGTGAGCTAATGGAAGATGCTCTTAGCTCCAAGTGCTGCACCGTCCTGTCCACTCTGGAGAACGAAGGCTGGTGCGTAGAACTGGAGGTGGGTATCCATCGAGTTGACGACGGGGTTGTGAGATTGCGCGGCACAGGTGGGTGGGTGGAATGGCGGGGTCTGAGATGGCTAGCAACGGCGCGGAAAGTCGGGACATTCTGTATGAGAGATACGGGGAGAAAATGTGGGATGCAGAGGGGTCAGCAAGCGAATCATGGCCTAGGAATGGGCCGTAGTGAACGAAGGAGTTGTGGGTGTTGGTCAGAAAACGGGGATTAGAATCAAACATATGGAGAGCAGAAGTAAAGAGACGAACCCAGGTTAGGGAGACGTGCAGAGCGACATGAGAGTCAAGAGCAAGAGGCATGCACTTTTGCCGCCTTTATCAAAGGACCGTAATCCGGATTCCGATTGGCCAACGGATATCGGGAACGCAAGTGGGGCCGAAGAGCCGATTCTCCCTCAGACCCTATTCGGATTCCTTTCTCCTTCTCCACCATCTTCCTTCGACTCTTGGTGAGTGTAGACAACTTGCACTTTGTCCTGGTTATCATGATCGTATTTATATGAGGTCGTTATAGATCTCTCTCTTCCCCTGCCACTCTTTACTCCAGTCGTCTCTGCTGCCCTACCTCGGCGCGTTATCGATCTCGCATCTTCTGACACTCGCACCCGCACTCGCGCTTTCCCTCCCCTCTCCTCCCATTTCCATCCCACGATCACCATTGTGATATCCCCCCTCTCTTCGTCGCCCTCTCTCACCCTGTCATCCGAGTCTCCATCGCCATTCGCCGTTCGCCGTTCGCCACCGCCCTCGTGGGACTCGCACGCGTATACTTTAGCTACGTCTCTATCCATATCTTTGCACTGTTTCGGCATTATCTTCGGAGACTGCCGACTGAGTCTGAGATCGGTCAGCGAACAGACATGGGATGCGCAAAGTCCAGAAATGGCAGTACGTCGGCAGTTGCTCAACCGCGAGTGATGCCCCTGTGATTACATCAGGCGCGCCACAGTGCCGTAATCAGGTGATAACCCCCCCTCACGCACACCCAGCTAGTCCAGGGTCAAACTGCATGGTACCTGGGTGGAACACCCTTACCTCAGTGGAATCCCCGTAGTGCAAGTCAAATTGGGTAGCACGAAATGTTAAAATTGGCTTACAGAACCAAAGCAGTTTAGGGTAGCGGTTAAGCCCTCTGACGAGCCCCTTCGCAAGGGCGAAAACTGCAAAGACCCGGCTCTTTGGTTCGAGCCCCGAGACCTACAACTTGCGATCAACCAATCTAACATCGAGGAGGGGCCCCGCCGCACGTTGGCTGTACGCTTGGGGGACCTTCGGCGTTGTTAAACCGTCTGTCGCATCCAGTATGGATGAGACGCTCCTGTGCCTCGCCCGTATTTGATATCTGTGTATCTCCCACCCGCGATGGGTATGAGCTGTTCATGTCGTGTCAGGCGTACAAGTGCGTATCGATCATCTGATCTTGCGATATTCCGATACTCATATCATCTTTTAACTCGCCCTTTCCGCCGAGTTTCTCTGGTATGTTCAATCTTCCTCTGATCGCTAGGCAGAACACTCCTCCTCGCCCCATTCATCCCTCTCTTTTCTATCACTCTCTTGTCTCGCATCTTCCTGTGCTCGTTCCTCGTTTAATTACACCATGAGCCGCTCGCAACCTCCACTCCCGTCGTCCATATATCGCCCACTTCCAGTCGTCCTGCCCGCCTCTCGCAATTTGCCGTCGCGAGCTAGATGTGGATGCGCGACTGTCCAGGTATTGGGTAACTTGAGATGGCGGATATCATGAGGCTACCTGGGCCGCTCTCCCTTCGCGATTCGATATTGCTGATGGAAGCCATCGGACAGATTAACCTGCTAGGTACGTCTAATCTCCCTCGAGGTTCTCAAGAATTCTGGGCATCGACTCGGCTTCTAGAGTACACTCGATGCTGAATGTTGCGTCAACCACGCTCGCCATCCTGATTTACCCTCTGCCTCGCGGGTCTCCGTCGTCGACCCGCCTTCGCGTCCAGGCTTTCCTGATTCTGATGCTTGCTCCATCACCGATTTATCCCAGATCCATACTCGAAATCACCGAGACACATTCAAGATTCAAGAACTCCCTCTCTCGTAATCTGTTACACTCCATCTCAGAATCCTTCCGACCCCCATCTCGTCCACCAACCCCTTCCCTTGCGCTATACTTCATGCTGCTCTGATCCCCGCCGTTGAAGTCGCTCTTACCTCCACTGGTCCTAGTCACTCGTCAGCCTTATGTTTATCGAGACGCCTTGGACTAGTTCTGTCCTAGAAGGCATTCAATGGCGGGCGAACGCAGAATGCAGGTACCGCGGGACCCAATGCTTCACTTTTCGTGGATTGCTTTATAAAATCACTCATGTTAGAGTCCAAGGCGAGTTCCTGGTTTTGACCTGCGACTCTCTGAATCACTCTTTCGCGCACACCCAGGTGTGTTCTCGCTTCACCCTTACCGAGCGAATGAACTGATGATTGTTTTTGCCTGGCCATTCATTTATCTCTCGATGTGGGCGGGGTATCACTCGCTGTTCGGGTGGCACATAAGTGCAGTACCGTGTTAATACAAGGCGAGACGATGTCTAGTCCTCGAAAGGCTGATGAAGAGGAAGTATCTATTGGACGAGCTCTAGTCCGAGATCAAGAGCATGGCATGGGCTGGTTTGAACAATTATGCATGCCTGTGCCACGAAATCGGCACACGTCAAAGATTGCTTTGAGTATGCAGTTCCGTACTGCGAGAGCGATGATAAAAAATGTACTTCGAACTCTGAGGAGAGTGCTCATGGCGATTGGATGAGGAGGTCAGAAGCTAAGACCCCGTTTTCTATGAGATTCACGAGGGATGAGAGCACTAATAGTTGACCATAATGACAGAGGCGCGGGCCTGGATAGAGAACACAAGAAATACCAACCAGACAGAAAAATCCAAATGCCAATTTTGCTCATGCATCGACAAACCAGGGAGCCGCTGAAGTAGATTTTATTTAGACCTCGCACGAAGTAACCAGTCGCGGTTGCGAAGCAGGCACGGGGAGGGCATGAGAAATAGTGACGTGTCCCAACTGCAGGAGATTGTGCTAGGGCGACAAAATGCCCGTCCCCAAATTATGTCAATGCTAACAGTTATCCACACTGACCCACACCGAACAGCGAGAGTCCTTCTGGATAACTGCAAATATCGATGCTTTGACGACGGGGTCAGATCAAGCCCATTAGCCGCTCCACAGTAGAACGGGAAGGACGTGTGGCGAGAGGGAACGGGTGTTGTGCAGCTGGCAGTACGGTCTCGTGGATGAACTGGACCTGGAGGGTTATCGAGGGAGAACGCTACGCCATCGTGTACACACATCCAGACCACAGCCATATTTAATATGGGGAAATTCTCCCCGAGCCTTCACAGCACATATGACAATGCATGCGCAGGGCTCGAAACGGGAGGATTTTGTCTGATGCCATGGACGTGGGCTGGACACTCCTGGCCGGGTTGTATGGTGGAGAGCGAGAGATTGTGTTGCTTGCTGATCAAGCGATTGGTCGATGAGGGGTGTGTTGGCGAATAGAAGGGGTGGCAGGGGGAGAGGCAGGAGCGAGGGAGAGGGAGGGAGGTATAGACGAGCAGAGAGACGCCGGGATGGGAAGAGATGGGCAGAGGGCAGAGGGCAAAGTGAGAGTCGAGAGCAAGACACGCCTGTCACAGTGATTGGCCAACGGGGGTTCGGAGCCAGAGTGGGGCCGAAATCCGAGTTCGCCCTGAGGCTTTCTCTCTCTTCCTTTCCCCCGTCCACCACCTTCGTTCGCCTTCCCGATTCTGCCACTTCTCTGGGTCCCTTGAATCCCCCTCGCCATTCCTTGCTCTCCCCCCCGCAACGGCCTAGAGTCAACCTGCACATACCTGCCCACACCACCTCCGCCACCTCTCTTCCTTCTCATCCCTTTGGCTCCGCATCGTCGGCCGCTACTCGTTATCGCAATGGCACTCTCCTCCCTCTCGCACCCGCTCCCCACCTATCTCTTCGCCGTCCTCCCTATCCCTCTCCTCTCCGCCATTTTCTGCCGCTCTCGCAGGCCTCACACGCAGATGTACATCTCTGTCCATGCTCCGACGACGAGATCTATTACCGAGGGTTCTCATTGCAGGTTAATGGCCTGGCGGGTTGGGACCTTCGGTGTTGTTGTCGGTGTCATCGATTGCGTGGAGGAGATGTCTCTGGCCCTGAGTACGCAGAGACCTCCACTTTCGTAGGGTCCGTATCTACCTCCCAACTGGGGTGGACATGAATCGTTCGCGTCGGGTGCGGCGTCCAGGTAGGTAGGTATCGTTAATCTGATCTTGCGATCTTTTTGGATACTCATGTCATCTTCTAACTTGCCCTTTCTGCCGAGTTTCTCCGAGCCGTTCGATCTTGCTCAACTCGTTCTGCTCTGAGGTACAGTCTCGCACTCCCTCTTTTCGCTCCTGTATCTATCATGCACTCTCATCCCGCCCCTCCTCTGTATGCCAGGCACTAGCATCCTCTACCTCCGTCATCCATAAGTATATCCTCCACTTACAGTCGTCCTGCCCGCCTCTCGCACTTTCCCACTGCGAGCCTCATCTGGATGTGCGACTGTGAAATTGAGGGAGTATCCTACCGATGACGGATATTGTGATGTTGTCGGCGCCGCTCTCCCTGCACAATTCGATATCGATGATGGAATCGATCAGGCAGATTATCCTCCTAGGTACGTCTAATCTCCCTCGAGGTTCCCTAGAACTTCGGGTGTTGACCCAATATTCGGCTTCTAGAGTACACTCAGCGCTGAATGTCGCATCGGCCACACGCTGGTGTGCCTCCTCGATATTGGACCTAGAATTGGAGAAGACACCTCACGTAGCTTCTGCCAACCTGATTTACCCTCTGCCTCGGGGCTCCTTCCGTTGTCGACGCGCTGTCGTGTCAAACCCATCCAAGTCTTATGCCTTTATTCATTATCCCGGATCCATACTCGAAATCACCAAGACACATTCAAGATTCAAGAACTCCCTCTTTCATCTCCTACAGCCCGTCTCAGAATCCCACCGATTCCCTGTCTCGTCCAGCACCCCCTTCCCCTGCAATATGCCCCGCACACTAATCCCCGCCGTTGAAGTCGCTCTTACGCCTACTGGTCCTAGTCACTCGTCAGCATTATGCTCATCGAGTTGACTTGGGCTAGTTATTGTCTCTAGCAAGTTCGCAACGGCGGGCGATAGATGGGCCCAGTCTGCTGCCACTATTCATCGAGGAGTTTTCAGACGCGAACCCCGGCTCGGCGTCAATTATCTGCTTGTACTCGAGACTACGAAATGTTAAAGAATACTAGACGATGGCTTCCTATACCGAATGTTAAGACTTCACTTGCGGTGAGTACTCGGACCAGAATACCTGCCAACCTGGCTCCTCGCTTACCGCCATGAGATCGTTATCAATTTCGAGCAGTTTTAACAGGCGACCATCCCTTGCGTCTCCGTGAGGATTTGGATTTGAGGTGTGGGTCGTTAACGTCGTCGCTTCAGCCGAGAGTACAAGAAAAGAATAGGACGAGGTGATCGAGGCAGAGACGGTTCTCCGCCTGTCAAAGATGGCGAGGGGTTTGAATGATGAGCGACTTCAAACGAGAAGTAATTTCGAGACGTACTTGAGATTTACGAAGCCCACGAGGGTCCCCCAACACTCGGGATGTAGAAGAGTCGAGGTCAAGGATGAGGTACACAAGGAAACGAGAAGGTGCCAATCAATGAATAATCGAAGGACACGAAACGCAGCTTTAGAAGCTCCAAGAGAAGATGCTCGTGCGCCGAGATTCCATCGTCAAAATTTACTGGCAAGAAACAATGTCAGTTATGCTTCTAGACCTGCGCCGAATGGTGACAGGCCTATCAGCTAACTGTATCCGCGAGAGACTTTGACGATGGGTCCAATACTGATGAGGGGCTGCCCTAGAGTAAAGTAGCTCGCGATAAAGGTGAGGACGTGGCAGATCAAGATGAGGGGATTAGATAGACAGTAAGCACATGTGTGAGTTGTACGCCAATCTGGAGTGAGAAGATTAAGAGAAGAAGGGGGAAATGGATGACGGGCAGCGAGACTGATCAGTGGAGAGCAATCCGTCATCGTGCACGCACATCCAGACCGTCATCGCGAGGTATACGATACTCTCCAAGAGTCGCGTAGGACATATATGACAGCCGCTGCGCGATCGAAAAGAGAGTACCGCGAGGCTGGCTTGGATGTGGGTCGTCCGAACGGAGAGTATCAGTTCAGTTGACAGCGGTGGGGAGCCCGGGGGGAGTCAGGTGGACGAATCGATTCTGATTATACTCATCAGGAGCACAGTTGTGCGCCCTAGGTGGGAAGGCAGAGAGCGAGGGCAAAGGACAAGACGCGTCATCGATTGTCGATTTCGGGCACACAACTGATTGGCCAACGGATGTTCGGAGCTGGAATGTGCCCAAAGCCCGAACTCCGAGATTCCCGCCGGCGAACTCCCCTCTCTTCCTTCGTCACGGTCTACTTACCACCACCTTCGACGTTTGACTTGTGCCGAATGCAGTCCATGGGAGTCGCCCCTTCGTCCCCCACACGTCCCTACTGTGCGATCCTCGATCTCCACCCTCGCTACATACTCCTTGGTTCTTCTGTGCGCCTTGCTTCGTCCGTCTCGCCCCTCCACCGCAACGACGCTAGCCTTCCTCGGTCTCTGGGTATCCGCCCGTGCTACGTCTTCCCTGAGCCCTCCCTTTCGCCTCAGCCCCTTCCTCCCGCACTCACTCTTCGTCGTCCTCCCCTCCCCTCCTCTCATACTGCAAGCTATGCCGTTCCCTCCCCCGGGCACCATTCCAGCGTCCTCCTCATCCTATCACGATCCTCTCAATCGACGATCCCCCCCCTTCCTCTCCATTACCGTTCGCCGTCGCCCTTAGCATCGAGCCTGCACTGATATCGATATCTACACTCCCGGTGAAGGAATTGAACATCGATTTCACGCCGCCCACGACGCCGGGTGGGTCCTTCGATGTTCTCATCTCTTCACCGATTTTGTGAGTGTGGATGAGACGCATGCGTGCATGGCTCTACGACTACGTATTCCACTCGAGGGGTCTCGTTGCTGTGATGGGGACGGATTGGCCCTCTTGGGGTATCGACTTGATCCCTCCGTCTTTCGTATTGTCTCCCGGGCTCGTTTGAATCGCAAATTCGCTTCTTTTCCGGTGCAGCAATCTCAATCTTCCTCCGGTCATACTGTCTTTTCGGACGCAATCTCGAGCATCTTCCAGTCACTCATCCCTCCTGGCATCTACTATTCACCCTCAACTCACACCTTCCCATACCCATCTGTCACATATGCCCCGCGGCACTTTACCTCCGTCGTCTGCATATCCCATAGATTCAGTCGTCATGCACACCTCTCACATTTGATAGTTATGCGTTCGGTGTGGACGCACGACTACGTTTCCAGGGGTATAGGTGGACGACGTGTATTTGTCTCAGCCAGCGAGTTTCAGGGTACCCGGCGAATTTATCTTACATAACCGATATTTGAACGCGTACGCAGACCAGGGGTTTCATGCGACGTTGGTGCAAGATTAAAATAATACTCGGTCTGTTATCACTCGTTCGTCGCTTCCTTGAGTTCTTCCGATACGATAGAGGTCAACACTCTGGGGTCTTTTGACGTCTAATTCTTGAATTATAGCTGTCCATCTGGCACCACTATTATTTAGTTCTGTTGCCGGCGATTCAGTTTCTTTCTATCTGTTTTTGCCTTGTCGAGTAAATTCTGGAACTTAGTGCGAGTCTTGGGCACGCGTTCCTCCCTTCCGCTCCTCTTCTGACGTACTGAGTCCGCCGATCAGCTACATCGACGAGATTTCGGGCTCTTCTACGTTCGATCGACAGTCGATTCTCTATCCTCACAATTCGCGGATTTTGCACGTACATGGAGGACAGATAAGGCAGTAAAGATTCAGCAAGATGTTCGTTTATGTATTTCATTTCCTTCATAGATCAATCGAAATTGGACGATGCGCAGAAAATCAAGGTCTTGATTGAAGACATGCATCCTCCAGGAAGACTTTCGTCCAATAGCACGTGCGAAAGCCAATATCGGGTGTAGAGGGGTCGAGCATAGATCACGGAATTGGAGTAGCCGATTCGACGAATGACGCTCGAGGAGAAACTTGAGCGGGCGCGAGACAACGACTGGGATCTCGGAGCCTAGAGATGCTCAACGTGGCGAATCATCAAACACGATGAGAAGCGCGGATGGTTGGAAGCTCGAGTGGGGATAAAGTACTTATCTTATCGATGAAGACAGGTTCCGAGCGTGTCAATGGGGGTTGTGGGGGCAGAAGAACTGATAGGGCGGAAAGGGCGGACATAATCTAAGTAATACAAAAGGGAGCTGGAGAACCGCGCACAGTGACACACCCGTCGTCATTTAACCGCATTTTTCAACAGTTGTACTTCGAACTCTGGATGATGGGGAAACCGAGCGACGAGGGAATGACTGGAGATGCAATCGTTGACGGTGGGAGATGGCTGGCTGAGGTTCCAACAGTAGAGAGCACGGAAGGGTGGATGGAAGGGGGATGGAAGTGTGTAGGTTGGAGAAGACGTTGAGAAGAAGAGGAGTGGAAGGAGAGTGCACGAAGAAGGAAGAGCGGGAGGACGACGAGCGGGAGGAGGACGGAGGATAGAGCTCTAGAGGACGGGGGACTGGAGGTGGAGAGGAGACCTTGAGGATGGCGGACGTGAAGCTCGAAGGGTCGTGAAGACAGCGCACGTGCAAAGGTGCCGCGCTAAGACTTGCGATGGGTGAGCTAGACGGAGGAGCTGAGAGGTCGGGCGTCAAAGAGGGACGGACGAGCAAAGCACAGACTTCGGCTGGCTCCGAGTTTTCGTTGACCAATCGGGTGTGTTCCCGAGATAACGATGACGTATCCCTCTGCCCTTACGCTCCCTATCTATCTACGCCATGGGTTCCTCTGCGCTGCATATATTCACCTCTAACCACTTGACTCTCTCGTTCCTGAGGCCTGTACGGGTGCCCACTGACCGCGCTTGCTCTCAGATCACTATGCCTAACCAACACCGAGCGGCTCTCATCTCATCTCGTCTGTCCACCTTCGCCAGAATCCACATCCAGGCCAAAGTCATCCCAGCTCTCTCCCATCCAGCACCGCGCACGCGCTGTTACTCATGTTACGCACGGCGATCGGATATCGCCGCAGCACGTATGACTTCTGGTCTGGATGTGCGAGGGCGAGGACAGCGGCGGATCTCTCTCATTGATAATCGATAAGTACTAAGTACCCATTTCCTCAGGACAGCACGATCCACCTTCTATTTCCCATAGTCCATCGTCTCCTCGCTCTGCATATCTGCCACTCGACCTAGGATCGGCTGACAGCCCTGCTCTGGACACGTCGTCGAGTCCTCTTCCATACTCAGTCGTCCTGCTGGCCCGTCACCCTGCGCGATGGACCAGACGTATGCCTTTAGGTTGGGTGGGATTGCGACGATGTGTATCGTGGGCTCGGTGTCCTGGCTTCATTCCTTGGAGTTTCTATATCTCTTCCTTTTGATTCTTGATGCATGAAAGAGACAAAGGCGAAAATCGGCTCTATGGCAACCACGCTTCACTTGTTCGATGCCCGCGTTCCTCTTTCTCGCCCTCCGCCAGTCCATTTAACCAGAGGTTCGTCCAACCGTTCTGTTTATCCCTTTGACTTAGCTCTCAACCCGAATCGTGGCTCAACAGTCACATCCCATACGCAAGCTGTGTCAATCTCAAGTGCGTCTCGATAACTCATATTCGAACTCGCTGACTGCTCAAAGGCTTCGTCTTCTGTAGAACCGCCGTCCTGTCTATCTTTTCGCTTCATCCTCCTTTTTTTCCTGCTGAAAGAAAGGAATCCACGACGGCGACGGACCATAGACTCCGTTATCATCCTCGCAGTCGTATAAAGGACGGCGGGAGCGGTGTGTTTCCCTAGGAGGATTGGAATGTTGTGTTACCTTGCCCAGATTCGACACTTTACGAGTTACATCTCGAGAAATAGAAATATATTATGTTGGATTTAATCCTCACCAAAAGCAGTCATTCAGGCGAGATCGGAAAGAACTCAAGCTGAAATTGTTATCGTACTTGGAGTAATGTGATATGCAATATGTCTCTTCCCCACTTGACTCCCCATAATCGAGTCCAGTCGAACTGCTCTAACCCTTGATACATCGATAATTTAATTAGGACCTAGGGTTCGCGTCTGCAATATTAATCTCGGGCTATAATCCAAGAAACTTCCAGAGAAGAATCAAACTGCAAGGAGCGTTCGTAAAGGTACGTCATTCGAACAGACGGAAACGAAGCATTGAACCACGGTGTATCAAGCAACCTGTGCTCGTCCGCCATTTCAAGCAGTCCGGCACACGAACTGGTCCTCGGTGTCTCGACAACCGCAAGATAGGATCAGTAGAATAGCAAGAGGATTCAACGACGATACGGGGAATAATGCGGCCGTTGGACTAGATGGAGCGATCGGAAGGATTCGCATAAGAGAGCGGAATTCATGAAAGCATCTCGGTGGTTTCGAGTGCAGATCCGAGATGACGGAGCAAAGGCGTAAGAGAAAGGTTGGACGTGATAGTGCGATATTCGGCATCGAATGTACTCGAGAAGTCGGGTTTGGGGTTAATACCCGGGGTTCTCGAGAACCTCAAGGGAAACCGGGAGGATAGTCCGTCGAATAGGGATATCACATCGCGAGGCGAATCCCGCACAGACAACCTGACGATACCCGTCGCCCACATGTTCCCTGAATGCGACAATCGTGCGTCCAGACGCAGCTTGCAAAAGCGTGCGAGGCTGGCGAGACGACTGAAAGGGGGGGATATATGGACGACAGGAACAGAGGTTGCGAGGGGCTTCTGTTGGATGCAAGGAACGAGGCACCCGCGAATGATCCGTGTTCATCGTGGTGAAGAGACAGACTCAGGCCCGGCACGAGAGATGGTCTCCGCAGGCCGACAGAAACGCCGAAGCGTCTCATCCACGCCAAGCAATAGAAGGAGACCACTACAACACCGAAGGACCCATCCCGCATAACCGTCAAGGTGTGACAGGGTCCTCAATTGGTGTCAGATCTCATTGGGAGGCATGGATAGAGATTTGTGTCCGTCCGTGTGAGCCCCGGCAGAGCAGTGGGGATGGCGAACGGCGAACGGTGATGGAGAGGGCGGGGCAAGAGAGTGCGACGAAGAGGCGCTAGTTGTTGCGGGGGCGTAGGGCATGGGCACGAGAGGGGAGGAGAGGAGAAGACAAGGCCGAGTGAGGGAGAAGAGACGGCCGAAAGAAACGATGTACAAAGGAATTTATTGAACCAGTAAGTCCCGCGTACCTCAAGACGATAGCTGTGACCGCCTCATATCAGTCCGTCGCATTCCCGACCCAACAATCACAGTCATGCGTCTATGTCTGTATAGCTCGCAATGGCACAGCGCGAGAGATGTTCAGGACGACTGGAAGTGCGCGGTCTTCAGGCGACGGAGATGGAGGCTGCGTGAAGCAGCGTCTCTTGTGAGGGTGTGCGCGACGGTGCGAAATGAGAGTGTACGCAGGAGGGATGAGAGAAGAGATCATATACCATCAGTGCAAAGGAACGATTCCTTGCAGAAATAGACGCAGCTGCCTCCATCCACACCACCGGTTCCGACAGTGAAGAGTACACAAAGTGAATAGTCCGCGTCACTGCTATTCAACGTGCGGCTGGCTCATTTGTACACATTCCGTGACAGTCACCGTTGGTCGGAGGCGTGGATAGGAGTATGGTGAGTTAGGATGGGGAAGATGAGGCTGGGCTGGGGGAAGCGATTGGCAGAGTAAATGATTGGTAGGGTATAGAGGCCATGTAAGATAGTGGGGATAGAGGGACATCGGGACAGGGAGGGGCGGGTGAAACAACATAACCGAAGCGAAAAAGCGGCCGCAGGAGAAGAAGAGAAACCGAGAGAGGCACTAGTCCTGTAGATCTGGACGGCCCAGGCGGGGGAGGGGGGCAATGAAGTAGGAAAAGTGCCATCATCTGCACTCGGAGGGAGATGGTGGTGGGCGAAGGAAAAGAGGGGAATAACGTCCCTTGTGGGAAACTCGGACTTCGGCATATTCCGGCTCCGAACCACCGTTCCCCAATCAGATTTTTTCCTTTGACAGATGACGTCTGCGCCTCTGGACTCAACCCGTCCTCTTCCATCTCTCTTTGAACGGCTGCCGTACGCCTTGGCCCTCGGGCCTCACGTCGTTGAACGCTCGATATCGCCGATTCGTGCACCCTCGACCTGGGTCCTGTCCCCATCCCACATCCACGGCATCGGCCATGATCCTCCCCGTTCGAGCCCAGTGCATGTACTGCCATCTGTGCTGCGTGTGGCTCTCGGAGAGTCTTAGTGCGCGCTGCTTGACGCCGGTCTGGATGGCGGCGCATCGCTTCCCACTGATAAGCCCCTTCTGCCCCTTCTGCCTCTCGTCCGTCTCCCATCCTCCTGGTGCTTTGTCCTGTCGTCGAACAAGGATGGCCCTATCCATTCAATTTAATTGGTATCCCTATAATGCGCTTATCAACGGCTCCTCCCCATGCTATGGACCAGACGACGTTCAACTACCTACCGCTCGAAACCCCAAATCCATCTTACCTGCCTGCTTCTCTAATCCGAAAATAATCTAGAGGTAGCTGTCGCCTTGCTTGGATCCCTCGAAGCTCGAATATTCCTCACGAGACGAGTGTTCAAAGGTTCGTCGAGCAACACCCCATGCTCGTACAGAGTCCCACTCTCTCAAAATCCGGCAGGTGTGGCCTCGAGCTCTTCAAGTTATGGACCTAAGCATGATACTTAGGAAAAGGCACAGACGAGTGAGCATGCGCCTGAGTTCCGCAATGAGCAGCGAGCTTGAGAGCTTGTAGGTCTCGGGGCTCGAACCAAAGAGCCGGGTCTTTGCAGTTTCGCCCTTGCGAAGGGGCTCGTCAGAGGGCTTAACCGCTGCCCTAACTGCTTTGATTCTGTAAGCTATTTTTGACTCTTTGTGCTACCCATTTTGTCTCGCACTACGGGGATTCTACCGATGTAAGGGCGTTCCACCCAGGTACTGTGCGGTTTGACCCTGGAATAGCTGGGTTTGCGTGATTGGGGTTATGCCTGACGCCAGATTAGGCACTGTGGCGCACCGATGCGCTGACGTCACAAGGGCATCACTCGCGGTTGAGCAACTGCCGACGTACTGCCATTTTCAGGACTTTTCGCATCCCGAGTCTGTACGGGGACCTCTAAGACTCAGTCGGCAGTCTCCGAAGATAACGCCGAAACCAGTGCAAAGATCATGCCATAGGGTGAGAAAGAGGTAAAGTCGAATGGGTGGATAGAGATAAAATCATAGAAGTAACAGATACATGGATGGAATTCGAAACGAAGACACGTAGCAAAGAACTTTTGAGTTATACCCCCGGGAGTATCGACTTCGGGCGGGCTATCTGAGACTTGAAGCAAGAGATAACGAAGTATGAAACAATTGGCAGGGAACCGAAGCGTTGGGTTGGTACGTTTCGGCCTTGTGGATATGGCAGAATTCTGCGATGTGTCCGTGGTCGATAGGATCGGACCAAGACGGAAGCTCTCTTTGATTTCAGGAAGTATACTCGCACCTCGACGGTAAGGGCAGGGTATCGGATCGCAGACAGACAGTCGTGCATCCTCCCCGGACGACCGTCGTCGTCGTCGCCCATGATTTTGGGCATCTTTGAAGTCGTATGCCCGTGCCTACGTAGATACGTAGCTCGAAATGTAAAAGTGCGAGAGGCGTGCAGGATGACTGGAAGGGTGCGATGTATGGACGACGACGGGGGTGGAGGTGGCGTGAAGCTTGAATTGGCACAGGGAAGGATGGACACGCGATAAGACGAGAATGCATGTTGGGAAGAGGAGGGATGGAATATGGTTTGTGCCGGTGCAGAACGATCCGAGGAATGACGAAAGTACGAAACTAAAGATAAAAATGAGCATGAAAAGTACATACCTGTACACCCAATCCGCCACGAACGACTCATGCCCACCCCAGTTGTGAGCTATATACGGATCCCGCCAAAGCGGAGGTCTATGTGCACGCACGGGCCAGAGGCGTCTCCTCCACGCAACGAGGGATATTGATGTGAATTCATCAAAGGTCCCAGCCTGCCGGGACAATCAGCTGCAATGAGACCCTGGATAATAGATCTTGTCGATCGGAGCGTGGACGGAGATGTACATCTGCGCGTTTGAGGCCTGCGAGAGCGGTGGAGGAGAGGTACTGGGACGGCGAATAGATAGGTGGACAGGAGAAGGGAAGGGAAGGGGGAAGGAGTGTGTCGTTGCGATTGCGAGGGCTGGAAGATGATGCGGAGCTGAAGGGATGGGATGGGTCGGAAGAGAGGTTGCGGAGGCAGAGGGCGGGTATGCGCAGGTCGACTCTAGGTCGTTGAGGAGAGCGAGGAGAGCGAAGGCTAGGCGAAGCAAAGAGTGGCGAGGTGGAGGTTCAGGAGGCCCAGGGAATATAGGCGCGTAATTTCAGCACAGAGGGACCCACGGTGTAGATATAGCTAGGGAGCGAGCTCGACATGAGGGCAGAAAGCAAGAGGGATACGTCATCCTTGTCTCGGGAACGCATCCGATTGGTCGACGAAAGCTCGGGGCCGACGTCCGTGTTTCCCGCGGAGAACATGTCCTTCTCTTCCTTATCTTGTCCTGTCCCTGCATGCGCCTCGCCACATGCTCGTCGGTTCCTCGTCGACGTCAGAATTCTCAGCCCCTTCCTCTGGTTCACCAATATTCAGCGTGACACCCGCGTGCTGCCTGCCATTCCCCCGTCCTCCTCCCGCTCTTCCTTCTTCGTGCACTCTCCTTCCACTCATCTCCTTCCGAACTTCTCTTCCAAGTTGAACCCTACACACTTCCACCCCCTTCCACTGGTACACACCCTACCGAGCGCGTGTTGGAATTCGGAACCTAGGCCAGCCATCTCCCGCCGTCACCTCCATTGCATCTCCAGTCGTACCCTCGTCTCTCATTGTCCCTGACATACAGAGTTCGAAGCACGACTGTTGAAAAATGCGGTCAAATGACGACGGGTGTGCCACTGTGCGCGGTTCTCCAGCTCCCTTCGAGCCGAGTTAGATTCTGCGCTGGCAGGGCGGCCTGTCTGCTCTTGAGCATGCAGCTTGACCCAAATCCATGTTTCCGATCAAACAGAGGCTATTCGATGGGCGTGGAGGATTCCTCATCGTTTCCCCTTTGCTCCCCGCTCGAGACGCTTGGAACGTATCTTCATTGAAAGGATAAGTACTTTCCAGCTGAAAGCCTACATACCCGTGCTTCTCATCGTTTCTTATGAAGTGCATTCTGATGACACTGCGTTGATCTCCCGCCTGCCGCACCTCTGTCGCGAGCTGCTCTAGAAGCTACGACGGTATTCGACCCCATCGCCAAAGTCTATTCTGGATACAGTTAGCCCATAGGCCTCTCGCCATTCGGCACAAGTCCAAAAGCGTAACTGTTGGTTTCGTAGGATAAACCTTGACGATGGGCATCTCGGTGCACTTGCACCGGCTCTTGGAGCTCATAGGGCTCCGTTTCGTTTCGTTCCATCGTTCGTGGTGTTTACTCGCACGCTTCTCCTTTCACCTCGACTCTTGTAATTACCGAGTGCCGTCAATTCCAAGTTCGCCTCAGAATTACTTCTCATTTGAACTCGCTCATCATCCAAAGGCCTCAACACTTCTCGCAGCTGTAAGGCCGTCTCCATCTTGTTCTTTCCCTCTTGGTCTTCTCTTTCACCCTGCGCTGAAGAGAAACAATTCATGATGGCGACGTACATAGCACGTACGGGCTCAGTCAGAATCCTCTCGATCGTTGACAAGACAGTGAGAGCGGCGTGTTTTCCTAGGAGGATTTGAGGCTATGTTCCATCTTCGGGCTTGGCATTTTACGAATCGCATGTCGATAAATTCAACCCTACAAAATATAGGCATCCACGCGATATCGGAAAGAATTAAAGTTGAAATTATTATCGTGTCGGGGGGTAACAATGCGATTTCTTATGGCTCTCTTCTCGATGGTCCGTGACGGAGTCTAGCCAACCTTTAAATCGAACCCTGCGAGGATGTCTTGCTAGTCTTCTCCCTCCATTCATGGTCTCTAGGACACGCCAATCGTTGTCTTAATTGAAGCCGAGCCTTGAATTCGCATTTTATGTATGTCAGCGATCTTCGACGACCAGACTAAAATCAATCTCATAGTGGAATAATAGAAAATCCCAGAAAAGAATGAAATCGCAAGGAATGCTCGTAAGCGTACGCCAACGGGTCATTCAAGCCGATGAAAGTCGAAGCTTTTGATTCTGGGGTACCCAGCAGACTGCGCTCGCCCGCTGTTAGTGTACGTTCTCCCGCCGTTGAACACTCTCCGCGATAGAAACTAGTCTTGGGCGTCTCGATAAGCATAATGCTGACGAGTGACTAGGACCAGTAGGGGTAAGAGAGGCTCCAACGGCGGAAATAGGATGCGGGTATAGAGTAAAGGGGAAGGATAGTTAGACGAGATGGGAGGTAGAGGGATTCAGAGAAGGGTAGTAAGAGATGATGAAAGAGGGAGTTCTTGAATCTTGAATGTGTCTTGGTGATTTCGAGTATGGATCCGGGATAATGAATAAAGGCATAAGACTTGGATGGGTTTGACACGACAGCGCGTCGACAACGGAAGGAGCCCCGAGGCAGAGGGTAAATCAGGTTGGCAGAAGCTACGTGAGGTGTCTTCTCCAATTCTAGGTCCAATATCGAGGAGGCACGCCAGAGTGTGGCCGATGCGACATTCAGCGTTGAGTGTACTCTAGAAGCCGAATATTGGGTCAACACCCGAAGTTCTAGGGAACCTCGAGGGAGATTAGACGTACCTAGGAGGATAATCTGCCTGATCGATTCCATCATCGATATCGAATTGTGAAGGGAGAGCGGCGCCGACAACATCACAATATCCGTCATCTGTATGATACTCCCTCGATTTCACAGTCGCACATCCAGATGAGGCTCGCAGTGGGAAAGTGCGAGAGGCGGGCAGGACGACTGTAAGTGGAGGATATACTTATGGATGACGGAGGTAGAGGATGCTAGTGCCTGGCATACAGAGGAGGGGCGGGATGAGAGTGCATGATAGATACAGGAGCGAAAAGAGGGAGTGCGAGACTGTACCTCAGAGCAGAGCGAGTTGAGCAAGATCGAACGGCTCGGAGAAACTCGGCAGAAAGGGCAAGTTAGAAGATGACATGAGTATCCAAAAAGATCGCAAGATCAGATTAACGATACCTACCTACCTGGACGCCGCACCCGACGCGAACGATTCATGTCCACCCCAGTTGGGAGGTAGATACGGACCCTACGAAAGTGGAGGTCTCTGCGTACTCAGGGCCAGAGACATCTCCTCCACGCAATCGATGACACCGACAACAACACCGAAGGTCCCAACCCGCCAGGCCATTAACCTGCAATGAGAACCCTCGGTAATAGATCTCGTCGTCGGAGCATGGACAGAGATGTACATCTGCGTGTGAGGCCTGCGAGAGCGGCAGAAAATGGCGGAGAGGAGAGGGATAGGGAGGACGGCGAAAAGATAGGCGGACGTTTAGAGGGGCTGACTCGAGGCGCTGGGCCGGAGATTGAGCAATGAGAGAACAAGACAAGCGAAACCGAGGCGAAGCAAAGAGTGGTAAGAAGGATGATTGAAGAGAGGAACCCTAATACCTAGAGAGATGGTAGCTGGTGCGAATCGGGAAGGCGAACGAAGGTGGTGGACGGGGGAAAGGAAGAGAGAGAAAGCCTCAGGGCGAACTCGGATTTCGGCCCCACTCTGGCTCCGAACCCCCGTTGGCCAATCACTGTGACAGGCGTGTCTTGCTCTCGACTCTCACTTTGCCCTCTGCCCTCTGCCCATCTCTTCCCATCCCGGCGTCTCTCTGCTCGTCTATACCTCCCTCCCCCTCGCCCGCTCCTGCCTCTCCCCTCGCCACCCCTTCTATTCGCCAATGCACCCCTCATCGACCAATCGCCTGATCAGCAAGCAACACAATCTCTCGCTCTCCACCATACAACCCGGCCAGGAGTGTCCAGCCCACGTCCATGGCATCAGACAAAATCCTCCCGTTTCGAGCCCTGCGCATGCATTGTCATATGTGCTGTGAAGGCTCGGGGAGAATTTCCCCATATTGAAGATGGCCGTGGTCTGGATGTGTGTATACGATGGTGGACCGTTCTCCCTCGATAACCCTCCAGGTCCAGTTCATCCACGAGACCGTACTGCCAGCTGCACAACACCCGTTCCCTCTCGCCACACGTCCTTCCCGTTCTACTGTGGAGCGGCTAATGGGCTTGATCTGACCCCGTCGTCGAAGCATCGATATTTGCAGTTATTCAGAAGGACTCTCGCTGTTCGGTGCGGGTCAGTGTGGATAACTGTTGAGCATTGACACCTTTCGAGGACGGGCATTTTGTCGCCCTACTTAGCACAATCTCTTGCAGTTGGGACCCTCTCTATTTCTCATTCCATGCGCGCGGCTGCTTCACAACCGCGACTGGTTACTTGAACTTACTTCGTGTGAGGTCTAAATAAAATCCACCATAGCGGTTCCCTTGTTCGTCTCCGTCGTCCTCGTCGACTAGCAACACACACACCCTCGTGGATCTCACAGAAATACAGATTTGTTTATCGAAGCCGCTCACATTCTCGTAGAACTGGTGCGAGAAGTAGTCGTCCAAGAGTCTATAGAATGCTTACTATATGATTTCCGCAGTTCGTCCTCCAGGTCCGTAAAAAACTCCTTTGGCATCATGCTCCTCCCCAAAGAGCCTAGATCGGGAGAATCATAGGGAACATTTGATATTTGTGGAGGGAATCTTCGACGTGAGACTCACACCTTTATATATCTTTGTCCATATGCACCGCGCCCACTCAATTGATTTTTGATATCTGTCTGGTCTTTCGACGAAAAGACGTTGTCTCGCCTCGTATTAACGTGGTACTGCGTGCATAAATTTGCGCTTGGAAGCTTTCTCATTACGATCGCCAAAGAGTCCGAAGTATACTGAACTTTGAAATACATCGCAAGGGACAAGTTCATAGAGGAATTACGTGCAGAAACAGGTCAAACAGGATTCAGAGGCACAATTGAGAAAGAGCTCGAAACAAAGAGAGCCGCCAACATGCCACCCGAACAGCGAGGGACGATTAGCTATCGCACATGACACCCCGCCCACATCGAGAGACAAATGATGGGCCAGGCGAAAACAATCATCAGTTCATTTGCTCGGTAAGGATGGAACGAGAACACACCTGGGTGTGTGCGAAAGAATGAGCGATTCAGAGAGTCGCAGGTCGAAACCAGGAACTCGTCTTTGACTCTAAGATGAGTGATTAAAGTAATCCACGAAAAGTTTCCATCCTTCTAGCAGATGAGAAACGAATCATTGGGTCCCACGGAACCCGCATTCTGTGTTCGCCCGCCGTTGAGTGCTTCACTCTGAGAAGAACTAGTCCAAGGCGTCTCGATAAGCATAAGGCTGACGAGTGACTAGGACCAGTAGGTGTAAGAGCGACTTCAACGGCGGGGATCAGAGTGCGGGAGACGATGCAAGGGGAATGAGTCGTTTGACGAGGTGGGGCTCGAGGATGATTAGAGACGAAGTGTAGCAGACGACAAGAGGGGGAGTTCTTGAAGTCGTCTGGGTGATTTCGGTTATAGGTCACCGATAATGGCGCAAGACATGAATTAAATAGGATTTGAGATGAAGGTGCGGCGACGGCGGAGGGAGACCCGAGGCGGAGGGCAGAAGCTAGACGTTATGTTTGATGTCAGATCCGGGGTCGAAAATCGAAGAGGCACGCCAGAACGTGGCTGATGCGACGTTCAGCGTCGAGTGTACTCTAGAAGAAGAATGTGGGGTCAATACCCAAGATTTTAGAGAACCTCGAGGGAGATCAGACGTACCCAGGAGGATAATCTGACTAATCGATTCCATCAGCGATATCGAATCGCGAAGGGAGAGCGGCCCAGGCAGCCTCACAATATCCGTCGTCTAGAATTTCCGATAATATACAACCGCTCATCCGGGCCCTGCTCGCAATGGGCAAGTGCGAGAGGCGGGCAGGACGACTGGAGGTGGGCGATATATGAGTCGAGGTTGCGAGCGGCTCATGGTGTAATTAAACGAGGAACGAGCACAGGAAGATGCGAGACAAGAGAGTGATAGAAAAGAGAGGGATGAAAGGGGCGAGGAAGAGTGTTCTCCAATGCCTAGCGATCAGAGGAAGATTGAACATACCGGAGAAACTCGGCGGAAAGGGCGAGTTAAAAGATGATATGAGTATCGGAATATCGCAAGATCAGATGATCGATACGCACTTGTACGCCCAACACGACATGAATGGCTCATACCCAGGAGCGTCTTATCCATACTGGACACCAAGCTCAGCTTTACAACGCCGAAGGTCTCCCAAGCGTACAGTCAACGTGGGGAGGGGCCAATCCGTGATGTTAGATTGGTTGGTCGGAAGTATGGATAGAGGCGTAGACAGGAAAGTTGGGACTTGGGACTGGATTACTCACGTTGGAAGTTATTGATAGACGACGGACGGACGAGAGAACTATTCCGGTATGTGTCGAATTGTCATAGTCTTTCTTTCGTGCGTTTGGGTGAATGCGAATTGCGAGCCGTCATATCTCCGAATCGATAAGTTGGTGCTCGATATCGTGATCGGTGCGATTGACCTTGAGCCCATGGGCAGTAGATGTTCTAGAACGATTTCTGGAGGTATGGAAGAAATGATGTCGAGGGAGTGGAAAAAAGAGAAGAGGAGGGGCTGGTTAGGATGCTTCCCCCGGACGAGCACAGCAGCCTATCAGGACCCGAAAATATTTCGTTTAGTTCAGGTAGACACATGGAAGTTTCGGAGCGCCAATTTGACCTCCTGGACCGACGAAAGTGAACGTGCTGGAAGGCATGGCAGCAGTGACAATCGTCGGATACCCATCGTCGACATACTCTACCACCAATTATGTGGTGCCATCTCCATTAGAGAAGTCAGGGCGATACACACAGCTGGAGGGAGTCCAGTCGATGACGGGTATCGGGTGATGGATGGGCATGCCAGGGCCCAGAGGGTGGGAGATGGAAAATTGGAGGTGTGTGACACCAGGGGATCGAGAAAGGGAACGACCAAGAGAGAGAAGGAAACCGGGATCCAGCCCGCGTGGAGATTAGAGTTACCAGCAGACTAGGACGCTGGCAGCGCATACCACCACACCACATCCCGTCCGGTGGCTGCAGGGAAAGGGGAACAATGGCCTTAGAGCACATCGGCCAACGCATGGAGTAGCCGGACTCGATGCGCTCGAGAGGCTATATGATCCGATGCCTCCGTGACGTGGATGTGGGCCGCGGAACGCAGAACATTAGAGTGAAAACCGGCGGATGGAGGACGCAGGTGCGTCGACGATGTACGAGGCGAGGATAGGACGTTGATAAATATATAAAGGTCGTGAGGGTATACAGCAAGGAATAAATCATCTGTAGTAAATTCGTCGTTGAATGCCCAGCGGAGTATCGGAATCGGAGCCGGAGGGAAGGGAATTAACCGGTGGGTTGTCGAAGAGAAACAGTAGCAAAAAGTGGGGCTCAGTAGAGCATACATTAAAAGGACGTACTGATTCTCCACGTACCTGGCACATCCCACATCGCCCTCGAGCTACGATCTACTGATATCACGGGAGAGCGACTTACATGTGGATGCGAAAGACGACTCTCCAATCTCCGGGTCAGGTCCGAGATGCTGGCTCAGAGTGAACCAGGCAAGTTTCTGTTCGATCTTGGATCCGAATGAGGTTCAAAGTCGAGGCGAGGTTGAAAGCAGGCAGGGACGAGACGATAACTCGAGAATAGCATAAAGGAACGGCGCTAGTGCGCTGGAATTCCCGCCGTTGTCCCATCGTCAAGATCTGACTACCACGATGAAAGTCATGCGTCTGAACCTGTGTCGCACGGCGAGAGGCTTTCGGCATAACTGGAAGTGTGGGATGCTTTGACGATGGGGTCGGATCGAGGCTAGCGAGGGAAAGGCGAGAAAATTGAGCGGACGATCCAAGTGAGAGTAGTGCGGATATTCGTGTTTGAAGTGGGTGGATGGATCGTGGGGAACCCTGGGAAGCCAGCTCTGAAGGGATGACAGAAACGGGATGCGGGAGGGGTGATACGACACCAGCGACACGGCGATCGAAGCTGAGTACGGCAAGGTGAGGTATACGAGGGAAACCGCGAAGAGCTCAATGGATGGTGGAAGGAAGAGAAGGAGGTTATCGTGACCGCAGCGGGAAACGCGACTTCGGCTCGTCCCGAACTTTTGTTGGCCAATCGGGTGTGTTCCGAGAGAGAAGATGACGTACGCACATGCCTCTTCCTTCCTGCCCTCACGATGCCCTCTCCAACTCACCGACTCGTCCGCCCATGTCCATGCTTCGTATAGGTGGCTCCTCTCACTGGGACTCATTATCACCCTCCTTCCTCTTTCCTCTGACTCAGGTCGTGCGAGATACTTCCTGGTGTTCTCCATTGACGCGCACACCCAAGTCCAGGGTCGTATTCCTCTCGCTTCGAGCCTCGTACGAGCACTACACTGAAACACATCTCGTACGATGATCCTGGAGAGTATGACCTCCCACTCTGTAATTTGGATGTGCGCAGCGCATGATGGTGTACGAGCCACCGTGGTCCTTCCCTGGACCCTCCCCCAGTGACCCGGTCCGACTCGTTCTTCATCTCTTCGTAGAGCAGAGGCGACATGCACCGCGACATACTTAGGTTCAAACACTCGATCGGCGCCCCTCGTACGCTCCCCCTTGCCTCTCCTTTCAGCTTTATTCCTTGCCGCTTCGCTTTCCGTCTTCTGACTCCCCTGCCGCCCTCCCTCGCCCTACCGCCTCCCTACCCGTGGGGCCATCTCTCGTACCCTGACTCTCATCCCCGCCGTTGGATTCTTTCGCACTTCTAGTCCTTGTCAACGTCAGACTCGCACTTGTCGAGTCAGGACGTCTGGGACTTGTTCCGCATGCACAGAATGCCTAACGGCGGGCTGCGAGCACGGTCTGATGGCTACGCTTACTTCTCCTGCTCCACCTCGGAGACTTTTCTTCCGTAATTTCTGCGTGGACGGGAGGATATGGGTGCTGGAGGATGTGAACTTTGATTGTGAAGGCTACGGTGAGTTTCTGCTTGAACTTTTACTTTAACGCACGCATACGCACGCACAGGTTAAGTCTCGTTCGAACCTGGGTCAGCGAACAAAGCCGTGATTGCTTTAGGTGGGCCTATTGTGTCTCTACTGTAATAACTGTAGCTGACGTTGCAATAAAAAATAATAATCAGTCAATGAGCCAAGTCGAGCGGCCCATTAGCTCTCTTCGTTTAGAGCTCTTCCTCATGCCTTTGATTCCATATCGGCCATTCGCCCTCGTCCTGCATAGGCTCATCTCTCCGTTTCCCCTCCCGTTTTCGTCTCCGCCCCGCTTCAACACGTCGAGAATCGTCGGACGAAACGAGAACTTTTATTACACATCATGACACTCTCAGCGCGACGACGCACGCACAGCTGCAGTACATCCCATTCTTGTTCGCTCAAAAAGTATATCTAACTAGAAATCTGAATCGCGCAGTCGGTCATCTATGGAATGCTACTGGATCATTTTTCTGCCCTCTGACTGTTTGGACAATGGCGCCCATTCTCGCGAGATTTTGAGTTCCGAATTTTGAATACTCGAGCTAGGTAGGCTCAAGCGTTGTATTAATGCAAAGTTAAGGTCGTAAATGTAGTTTCGGATGATTCGAGATACTGGCCCTCTCCTCGAGGCACAAACAAGATGCTTTGGGCGGACCAGATTGGAACGAGGGAGTTGGGACACGAACCTAATTCCGATGAGTGTCACGTCCAATCGTGGTCTCGAGCGCGCCGACGATGTTACTGAAATACAGAACGGTGAATCGTATCTGTAACAACCGAAGTTGAGACTTGGTAACGCTCGAGACCGCCTAGCGTGGCGGAGAAGAGCGGATGTGCGAACGAAATCATTTGTGCAGGATGCACGCGGGATCGGGATGGGAATAGAACGAGAGGCAGGGCATTTGTAACAGGAAGAAGCCCCTCGAGCAAAGAGTGAATTGGGAAGGATGTCGAGCTTCTGGATGAGCTCGAGACGAAGAGGCGATACGGGACCGGCATCGACATTGATATATGATGTCCGGTGGATTCGGACGAGCAGAGCAACGTATTGTACTCTATGCTGTGGGTCAAGTCTTGGTGGGCGTCCTAGACCGCGTTCCATGGTGCGAGAACGAGATTTCCTTCCTCTCAGTGCTGAGATAGGGGACGTGAAGCTCAAGTGACGGGGTAATTTCGAGGGTATGGGATCGAGAAGCAGACTGATACCCATCATGACAAGATGAAGAACCACTACCCGAAGACAGTCATGCGTCGAACTTTGCATACAGACAGCCAGTGGTGAGGTGCGCTGCACATGACTGGAGGGGACTCAGGTCGATGAAGGGGATCGGGTGGCTACAGAACCCGTGTTCCTGGATGTGGGAGGATGGGCGATCAGCTTCTTGCACCCTCCTCTCCTTAGACATGACGGTCAGAGTGTTGGGCTCGAAAGAACATCGCGGTGAGCTCTTTAAGTGGGTTTGGAAGATGTACGCAGAGCAAAGTCTGGTCCACGCAACCGCAAGGGATCGCACGGGACCAACACGTAGAGAGACACCGTCATAGTGAATGGGTTGCTCGCACGGTGTTGGGAAGGATCGAACGGAGACGTGGATGCTGAGATTACGTTGGCGTGCGGGTTGGCACGAGAAAAGGAGAGAGATATGTCGGAGAACGAGGCCGATGTTGAGAAGCATCCATGAGGATGAGGTGAGCAATCGAGAACGACCCAGAGAAACACCGCCGCGCGCTGGAGTACCCGTCGTCAAAGCAGTTTCTCGCAGACCACAGTCATGCGTCTGGACCTGCGTCGCGGAGCGAGAGGCCCTGTGAATCGGCATAACGGAAGGTGTGGGATTCTCTAACGACGGGATCAGAGGCTAGGGCGCCAGCGGTAGATCGGAAGGAGAGATTAGGGGCGGTCCTGGAGGTTTCCAACTTGGTGTTTGAGGTAGAGGAGGTGGAACATTGCCCGTCGACATGACGTCGTGGAGCAAGAAGGCTCATGAAATGTGGGTGGTTGGTCCGGAAGCGCGTTCCAGCAAAGGACGCCGCCCTCGACGCCTGTCAATGCATAGGTGTCTTGCGCACATATAGAGGAAGAACAGAGGACAGGAGGTGCAGAGGAGAGAGGAGGGCGAGCATAAGGTCTTATGAAAGCGGACGTGGCGCTTGAGGGCATCGCGCTGAGATGGGTAAGACAGACGAAGGGTAGCTATAGGCGATGGACAGGAAACCACGAAGAGAGCTCCGTAGATGGGGGAAGGAAAAGAGAAAGAGAAAAAGACGGCGTGCGTCGCGGGAAACACGGACGGCATACCCCGAGCTTTCGTTGGCCAATCAGGTGCGTTTCCGTGATGACGTGTGCCTCTTCTTTCACTTTCTGCTCTTGCTCTGAGTCTCTCCCCATCCCTCCATGCCCATAGCCACACCTGTGGGCCCCTCTGCGTTGCATGCATGCTCATCCCACTCTGTCGTACCCCTTTTCAGCTCGACTGTCCATTCATGCGACCCACATCCGGACCAAAACAGAGGATCTCTCTCCCTTCGAGACTTGCCCATGCATTGTATGCTGTGCGAGAACTTTGGAGAGTCTTTCTTCAGATGGCTTCGGACGTGCGCTCACGATGGAGAACGTTCGGCTCTCTGTTCTTCCTCACGTTCCTTGCCCTCTTCGAGCACAAACAATTCACATACTCGGGTTCGACACTTCGAGGGGTGTATCCTGTTAGCATCCCCTCGCCTCCCCCTGTATTCCTTCTCTCTGATCCTCTGCGCTCCTCTATGTTCCACCTTCCGAATCCCCATCCCATCGCCTCCAGGCCGCTCCTTGCTTTTGTGCATCCTACTCAGACTCTGAAGCCCGCCTTCGAAGCCTCTCGCACTTCTACTAGACCTAGCCACACGTCAGCCTTATGCTCGTGATGCCTGGGGAAAGTGGTATTGATGCGGCGCCCAACGGCGGGCTGCGAGCGCAGCATGGTGCCTAAGCCTAGTTCTCGTCTGATGCTGCGTTTCTGAGTCGCCCTTTTCTCGCCTCTGCATGGAGGGGAGGGTATTCGAGGTAAATGACAGACAGCTCATACTTAAGGCGAGTTTCTGGTATATCCGACATATAACTCTGTCTCGCGCACTAACACCCATAGGGTTTGTCTTCGTTGGATTCTCAGCGATCGCTGAGCGAAGGATGATTACCTTTGCGGGTCCGCTTATTTCGATTTCCATGCGGGTGCCATTTGTGACGGATGGTCGTCGTAATTGGCTCTCCTCCTCGTCTCAAGATCGTCTTCGCGCCCTTGCTCCTACGGACTATTCGACCTCGTTCTCTCCTCGCGTCGCTTTCTCCGACCATATTGACGCTTCATCTACGCAGTTTCTATCGCTCTGTCCCCACTGCCCGGCCCCTGCCTGCCATGCGCAGTCCCTTCATACGAACTGCCACTGCCCGTTCACGCGATCCACATCCTTGCCAATTTATCACGGTCCGTGCCGCTCCATTTCCCACTCCCCGAATCCCCACCGCTACCGGCTCCCCACTCTCCTCTCCCTATGCTATGCCCGTTCCCCGACTCTGATCCCCGGCGTTGGAGCCTGTCGCACTTCTCCCGGTCCTAGCCAGATGTCAGACTCGATGGGTGCGAGTCGAGGCATCTGGGACTGGTGCTAGATTAAGCTGGACAGCATCCAACGACGGGCTGCAAACGCTGTCCGACAGGCACGCCTACTTATCGTCTAATGCTTTGTATACGGGACTTCCCTTTGCCCATTCCTGGATGGATGGGAGGAAATTCGAACTGGAAAACGTGGACGATCGCTTGTATGATAAGGTGAGTTCTGTTTTTGATCTCGAAATCCACCTTCCTCACACAGGTGCGTTCTAGTCTGATCCTTGTCGAGCGAAGCGACATGAAGGAATAACTAGGCTCGGTGGGTCAATCGCCTCTCTCTACTCTAAATATGGCTGACGATTGAGAATCGTCGACATCGCTCACACAGAGTCTACTCTAGCGGCCCATTGGCTCTCTTCCTCTCGAGTTCGTCCCCTCGGCCCTCTAATCGCATGGGCTATTCGACCTCGTTCGGCACAGGCTTTACTCCACGCTTTCCCCCCTAGGTTGTCGTCTCCGTTCCGCCAATCGTTCCATTCGATGGATGAGGGCTGTACTAGTACTTCGTTCCATATTTTCAAACGACGGCTAGAAAGTAAAATCCGAGAAGGAACGTCGACTAGGTTGACTGCGATAGACGGAAATAGGCTGCCTCCTAGGCTTACAAGAGAGGAACGTGAACGTGTCTGAATCTATGCAGCACGGAACGGGAGCCGGGAGAGAAGATCAATCGTCCTGCTTCGAAGCAACGCAGCAACTAAAGTGAAGGGCAGTGAACCTCCCAATTTAGATGTGACAAGACACCAGGAGCAAGTAAAGACAGGGTGAGCGTCAGGGGAAGCACCCATCTTCTCGGTAGTGAAACCCGAGACGTGGAGTTCGAGAAGGTATGGCGCATTGTGACAGTACGCAGGCAGTGTGAGCTCGACCGCACTCTATACATGTAGGGAGGGTTCCACAGAGACGCAGGATTGGACGGATACCCATCGTCAGACTGGATCGTGTCGTGTGACCAGTCGTGTCTTGCACTCTGTGCTGTAGAAGTCAGAACGCTATGCATGGCTGGAGGTAGTCGAGTCGACGATGGGAACCGAGTTATTGCGCTGGGAGTGGTGGAGATGAGAGATGCACGATACGAAATACGAGGTTGAGGGTGTGGGTGTGCTCGAGAGACGGAGGGACAGATTATGAACGAGTGAGATATCGCTTGAGAGTTATCAGCAGATGTGCTGATATTGTCCAGTGCCACACCACATCCCCTCCACTACACACAGCCTTTTAGAACACCGTCCAACGCATACTTAAACTCGAAGCACTCGGAAGGCGAATTGAAGTGGTGCCTCCGAGACGTGGATGTGAGCTACGGCGGATTGGTAGAAGTCCAACAGAATCGAACATTATTTTAGAGCGGAAGACCGCCAGATGGATTGCGTGGGTGTGTGGAAGTGCGTGGACAAAGGAAGCGAAGCTGGCGGACCGTGGGGGACCGTGGGTGATTTAGCGGTGAAAGAGGCGGGATGAGACGTGCGCAGAATATAACCCGGAGAGGTGGTGCCAGTGTGCCAAGATACCCGTCGTCGAAGGATCGTACTAACCGAGTACAGTTACGCGTCTGGGCCTGTGTCGCAGAGCGCGAGGCCCTCGGCGGAACTGAAGGTATGAGATCGTTCGACGACGGGGTCAGTTAGGGCTAGATGGCGGAGGAAAGGGAGGAGAGTGGGAGGGAGGAGCTAGCTGAGCCGGATTGAACGTCAGCGCACGGTGTTTGAGCTAGATCGGATGAAACATCGGCCATCGCTCATCGACGTCGTGGGCCAAGGAGGAGGGAAGGCGGGAGGACGGGAGGACGGGAGGATGGGGTGTACTGAAGAAAGACATGGTCACCAGGATCGGATCGCGGGGTGTTGAGGTCGACGAGTGCAAGGAGGTGCTGCGCATGCATGCATATGGAAGAGTAGAGTGAGACGAAGACAGAGGACAGAGGTGCAGGGAAGAGAAGAGGGGGTGCGAGTCGGAATCGCAGTGGGCGAGATTAGGCGGCGGGATCAGTCAAGCGTCGTGGATGCGGCCCTCGAATGTACCCAGCTGAGATGGGGCGAGCCAGATGAAGGAGACGAGCAAGGAGAACGATGGGAAGGACATGCAGACTTCGGCTCGTTCCGAGCTTTCAGGGTACATTTCCGCGATGACGTATGTCATTGTCTGCCCTCACATCGATCTCATCCTCGATGGATCCATCTGCGCTTCATGTACTTATCTCACTTGTTCGCCTCTTTCCCAGCCAGCCGTGCTCGCACCCGTCAGTAGCTAAACTCTCCATTTATGCGACGCACGTCTGGACCAAGGCCACAGATCTCTCCTTTCAAGACTTGCCAATGCATTGTAACATAAGTACTCTATGTTGCGCAAGGATCTTGGAGAGTCCTTTTAGCACGGCTTCGGACGTGCGTGCCAGGATGGCGTACGTACGGCTCTCTGTTGAAACCTCCCCACGTTCTTTGTCCTCTTCGAGCAGAAACGATTCAAATATTCGGGGGCAACACATCGATCGGTTCATCCTGCACACACATCCCCCCTAGTCCCCCCTCCCACATCCCATATCCCTTCTCTCTCCGCCCTACTTCCTCCCTACACGTGGTGCAATCTCTCGTATCATGACTCTGATCCCCGCCGTTGGAGCTACTCGCATTTTTCCTAGTCTTAGTTCAATATTAGACGCTCGCTTGTCGAGATACCTGGGATTAGCGATGTTTGTGAAAGGCATGTAACGGCGCTGTGAGTGCTGTCCGGAGTCTGTACCTACGTCTCATCTGATGCTGTATGTCTGAGACGGAATGTTACTCATTACTGCGTAGGCGGGAGATTATCTACGCTGGAGGGACACGAAGTGCTATATCGCTCGTATGATAAGGCGAGTCTCGATTAAACCCAGCATACAACTCTTCCTCACCTGTGACACGCACGGGTGTGTTCGCGTTTGATTCTGGCTGTACATTTATCTTCGGCGGGCATACTTATCTTTATCTCCCTGTGAGTGCGCTTTGTATCGGATATTTTTAATTATCACTGACCGAGGTTCCTCGTTCTACTCTTACGTCGATTTATCCGACTTGTCACATCATCCAGTCCGCATCCACGCCCTCGGGTCCCTCTATTCTTTGTAAATGTATGCGCCTCATCACTCGGTCGCACCTCCCGCCGTACGCACTGAATTGCCAGTGTCCATCCACGCGACCCACACCCTTGCCAACACTTCACACCTCTCCCTTCTGACGGTCCGTGCGTACGCACGAGGAACTCAGAGAAGATCTTTCAAGCGATTAGAACTGATGTGCGCGCAGAATGGTTTACGGTCCGGCACATCACGATCGCCTATCTCATGGTCACCTTTTCTAGTCGAGCAGAAACGACAGACGTACTCTAGTAGACCTACGATCGGTGCATCTCGTACTCTTCCTCCTCCTTCCATCCTCCGTGCTGTTCGATCCTCCGCTCTCCACCCTCTAAATCCCCATCCCCTCGCCCTACCGCCTCCCTACCCCTCACTTTATGACCCGTACCCTGATTCTCAACCCCGTCGTTAAAGACATGTGAACCTGCCCTAGTGCTAGTCAAACGCCAGACTCGCACTCGTCGAGTCGGGACATCTCGGACTGGTTTTGTTTCCAAAAATCCTCAACGGCGGGCTGCGAGCAGTCTACTCGTTGTTGGGCGCGCTGCCGTCCAACGCTCCGCCTTTCGTCTGCTCGAATGATCGTGAACTACTTCCGGGGCGATGTTTCGTACGCGAGCCCCCCTCTCTCTACATGACTGCGATGTGACCTTCACTCAATCTGTTCGAGCGTCCCGTCATCAAGTCTCCTCTTCTCGAGATCAGCCTCGTTGCACATAGAATTATCTCTTATTTTTTCCCTGTTCGTTTTCGTGCGTTTCCGCTACGCTTCGACGCCGCCGTTCGTCATTCCTTTTGAAGGACGAGTGCCAGGCCCATATCGCAGGTGAGAGATCCATGTCATGACGACCTTGGCGCGACACAAGGCCCTTCCCCTGCTCTCCATGAACGATCGTCCAAGATATCCATATATCCGAGTCTCGCAGTTGTTACTGGATTTTACACTCCTTTAGCGGTTAGCTTTCGGGCCATGGTTGTAGTAGCGGCTATCCTCGGGAGGTTTTGAGATGTAGGATTTGAATTATATATTTGGATGCTCGAGCTACGCTCGGGTGTCGTATGAACTCGAACTGGAATATCGTCGAATGGACGATTGAATTTTGGATGGAGTAGCTCGGGGATCGGAGGTCCGAGTTGTTATAACGTTGAAGAGGACTTCGAGTGGATCAGGAAGGTATTGAGCGCTCGGGTGTTTGAGCACGAGACGAAG